TCTTCGAATTGACTTTTTTGGTCACAGCTGGACTATGTTGGCCACCATGACTCACCAGGAAAGAGCTCCCTGCTTGAAACTGGTTGCAATGAGTCCGGAGCTTCGGACTGTTACAGAAGTTCTTAATTTAGTTTAAGGTAGCTCAGAGCATAGAGCTGTAGCCTAACACCCCAGGGTTGTGGGTTTGATTCCCGTACCATGTGATGTGTGCAGTTTACATGTTATCCCTTTGTTTGTATGTGGGCATGGTCTGTGATAGACTGGCATCTTGTCCAGGATGTTCTTGCTTGCTGTTCTAGGATAGGCTCCATGGAAAATAGTTTGATGGAAGAAAAAGATTCAGATAACTTTCTGGCCTATTCTTTTGTGGGTCCAGCAGTCATGCCTTTGGACAGTAGCTGTGTAAGGGGCCTCTGGCTTGGAGTCATAATCCCATTTTATGGATTGTTGCTGCATAAAATCATTAGCTGTCATTTAATGAGAAGCTGAGGCAAAGATGTTTTCAGCTTTGCTTTCCCTAAAGTCATTACTTCAAATAGGAGGTATGAATCAGTGTAAGATACAGATGGAAGCCCCCGCAGGCAGCTGCTGCCAATGTAACCAACATCTAGGAGGTACTTTAGCCCCTTACTTCATGTCCAACATGGACAGGCAGCTGTGTGCTTAGTTCTACAGGTCACATGATGATTTTCTGGTTTTAGCTCCTCCCACACAGGTATACCTACGCTGAGCACTAAGGGGGCATAATTTTTACTGTTTTCTCACAGTTTGAAAAACTGAAGCCTTTATGATGCTAATGTGAAATGCACAGCTTTATATTAAAAAGTGGCAATTTGTTTTTAATGTATTTCCAATCATCTATATTCTAACCACTTATACGGTATGGAATCATTTTTAAAGTACATTTTCAATTTAAGATGTAGTGTTTTTAATACAGTATAGTGTAGCGCTGGTGAGAGCTGCGCATCCCAGCAAACCTTGCAAGCGCTCATGTATATACAGTAGCCCTGTACCCGTGTCTTGTAAATAGCCCTTGTTATATGGCTGTTGTTTATGGTTACATTTCCTTATTGTCACGCGTCTGTTTGCCTGTATTTTGTGTGTGCCCTGTCCGATCCTTGCGTGTTCTTAGCTTGTGTGAATCTTCCACCTTGTGTGCACCTTACAGCTTGGCGTCTGACCACCTTGTGTTTCCACTGTATGGATTTGGGTTTGGTGCTCGTTGAGTGCCTGTTATAGTCTTGTTTAGGACTAGAATAATGAGCATGTTCTACCCCGGCAAGCAAGTCTCCTTGTTCTTTGCTGCTCTCACAAGATCTCGGTTTTCCCAGTGCTATGTATTAATGCACAATTAGAATCCATCTTTTGCTTTGCAGTAATAATCATGTGTGTGATCATGTATATATATTACATTGTGGGGTGCATGTGTGTGCCTGTGTGCACATATGTGTGTGCGCGTGTGTGTGTATGTGTGTGTGAGCAAGCGCGTGCATGCACACATATATGCTTGTTTGTATGTGTGTGTGTGTGTGTGTGTGTGTGTGGGGGGGGGGGGGGGACTGTAGCTGCAGCCTATCCCCCCATCAGATCTACCTGAGACACTCATACCGACACGGTTCCCCTCCAGCGGGGGCCAGGAGATAATGGCGACATCCCATCTGTCTGGGATGTGGCCATCGACCTCCCTTCGAAACAGCTGCCCTCTTTGTGTTTGCCCGTTAATTAAGATGCACTCGATCCTGTTCCCCGCAGCCCATTAAGGGGGGGGGGGGCAGTAGCCTGTAGGGATGGCGTGACTTTGCCCCCATGTGCAGGACCCACGGCCCAGCTCCCCTTGCTCAGCTGGCAGCTTAATAGGTTCCTCCTTGAAGGTAATTATAAGGCCTGGATTATGAGCTGCGTGGCTCTACCAATTACAGCAGAAGGGTGGTGATGAGCATCGTTTTAAACCCCCTTCAAATTATAAATTAAATGATACCTATTCCTGAAAATGTCTCTTTGAATTATTTAAACACCTTTAATGACTTTTATATGAGTGTGTGTATAAATATATAATATAATTTTAAGATACATATACATTTTAATATATCAGCCCACAACTCGAATATATATTATTACAATAATTCTAGAAATATTATCATAACATGCTGGATGATCCAGTGAGTGGCACCATCACCTCACAGCTCTGGGGTCCTGCGATTGTGGGTTTTCAGGTTCTGTCTGTGATGCACGTTTCTTCCACCTGCTCCCATTTCTTTCCGGCATCCAAGAACGCGGTGGTACAGTAGGTGAAGAGATGCTTTATCTAAATTTCAATATCAAATTTCAATATTTTGTGAGCATGTGTGACCCAGGTAAGACGTCATGTAGGATGTCACGATAAAGAAAACACTGCAGTGTTAAGACAATGCTGCGGAGGGGGGCCGCAGGCTCCCCCAGGAAGCGGAGAACAAATTCTCTGCCATATTCTACTTTTACCATGGCAAAGTTTTCCAGGGGAGAGTATCGACCATTCTTCTGAATCTGGATTATTTTATGGATATAATGCTATAAATAAGTAATTGTGTGTTTTATTAATAATCCTAATTAATTATGTGTTATTTACATAATGCTAGCAGTTAATTTGTTATTTGGCCATTTGTCAAGATAATGACAGTATTTGGTTTGTCCTTAAGACAGCTGCCATTTAGTTGGCTTTTTAAATCTCGGGCATGAAGTCCTCACCTTTTCTGCTGTTCTAGTGCTTGAGTGGCTTGTGCTTTTTTAATTTAATTTTATTCCATTTTATTTTTCCCACTTTAAGATTATGCTCTGTTCGCTGTGATGTGTAGTTCATTTTGGTGCTGGAGCCCAGTCAGCATTCCTGCTGCTCCAGGAGCGTTAGGAAGCTCAGAGGATCTGCTATGTCGGGGCTCCATGTCTTTTATCCCAGGCAACCATTCAGATGCAAGATGCGGGATTTTAGTGCCCGCGAGGTGGACCTGGCATTCCTCCGGCACCAGTTCCATTGAGGACAGAAACCTTGAGTGGCTGGGAGGTGCCGTTGCGTGTTGGGTGCTGCCGCCTGCCAGCTTCCTGGGCAGAGAGGTAGTGCTCCTATCGCAGACAGTGTGGTACCTGCAGTGTATTATAAAAGCTTGCAGGCTGCCAGGTCATTTACTGGAAGAAGGTTTACATGACCTTTGTGTATGAGTACAGGGGGAGCTTTATACCAACCTGGAAATACCCAAAACACTAAAGTTCATAGAGGAGGTTTAGTCTGTGGAAAGTAATTAAAATAAACTCATTTATTAACTTCTGGTCCTTCCCATAATACCAGGTCTCTCATCTCATATGAGTCATTTCTGTTTGCTGTAATGAGAACGGAATTCAATGTCTTAAATAATAGTTGTGATTTATATGAGATGGAGCTGAGACTGGTACTGCATTTGCTCTAGTAGTAGTTCAACAAGCCCCCATGCATCTGGGGAGATTTTATTCCACACCTGCGGCAGCTTTGTTTGAGCAAACAGTTCAAATTCCAGTGGATTCAATGGTCAGATGTGTAGTGTATTTTTTCTGTTATTAGTTCCAGAGTGATTGGTTGCACAATTACCAGTCAAATTGTATGTTTTTTAGCATAGTTGTTATGATTTGCTGAGTATTTTGCTGCCCAGACATGTGGCTGTGGCATCCCCACACAGGTTACGGTGAACGATTGGCTATCTGTTGGTAAAGTATATGAGAGTAAAGGCCTCATGGGTTAAGGCTGAGGGACTGGCTGTTACTGAGGATTTTTTTAGGAGCAGTATTTTATCTGCAATGCAGCAACATCGCAAGCTCTGCCAGTGTTGGGAGACTTCCGAGGTTGATACGGAACATCCTGGAAAAGCAATTACCAAACCTCAGCAGTCTGCCCTTAGTTGGATTCTCCCTTCCACACCAACAGAATTTTTCACCCCTTTTTTTGACATGTTCCAACAGGTCACCTGTTCTGAATGTGTGTTTTCCCCAGATTAATCTGTTGTGCTGTAAACAGAGAAAGGTTGTGGCCTGTAGTTTGCCGTTTCTTGAGTCAGCGCTGATGATAGAGACCTTGGCATTAGGATTATTAGCCTTTCTACCTGGTTATTGATATCTGACCTTTTAAAATGCCTCTGTAATGTTTTCACACGTCAGACATAGATATGCCTCTAATGTAAACTGCACTTCCTAGCAAAAGGAATGAACAAATAAAAAGAAACTTTCTTTGTGCCAAACATGTTATACTAACAATTACTTTGAGAATAATGTAGTAATTTTGTCAATCTTCATTCTCTTTTATTCTCACTACACCACTGACTAGGTGAAGTCTTGTCTTTGCAGGTGGTGATGTCAGCCTGGAGTCTGGGGGCTCACGACTCCAGTTCCACGTTCTGCCCTGCAGTTCAGCTCTGTCTCAGCCTGCACTATAGCGCCTGACGGTCATGTGCCATCCAACCACACCTCCCCAGCCGTTTGGGTGTGTCGGATTGTGCATCGGGCTGGAACTGTTCGGTAGTATAGGTTGCCCATTAGTTGTGAATGACAGTGGCACATGGCAGTGGTTTATAGCATGAATGCCTTGCGTGTAATTGGGTTTCTTCGCACTAGAGTGGTTGGAGTGTTTTCTGAAGTGCTCAGGCTCTCTGGGAAATTGCTTTTGACCCGATTTGTTTAAAGTCAGTCGATTACATCACAGGTACACCCTAAATGCTAATACAACCCTAAATAATGTTTATATTCACGGACCTAACAGTGCATAATCTTTTCTTTCAGTACTAGGTAAACTGAAAATTTAAATTGAAGGGCCTTTTGTCATTATGTTCCTTTGTGTGGTTAATGATTGTGAGCTGGTTGTAGGATTTATAAATAAAATAAGAGGTAAACAGGATTTTCCTCATTTCTGTGTCTGTCCGCCCGCCACGGTGTCCTGTAAAGAGAGTGCCACCAGAAGGGACTGGAACGCTCTGTGATCCTCAGTGTCTGCAGGATGATGGTTAGGCCCTAATCTCTGTGTGTGTCTGCATGTCTTCCAAATGATAAAAGGATGTCGTCGTCGTCTTTGGACAGACTCCTTATAAGAGATCCTCCTTATAAACACCTCCTCTGTTGCCCAGCAGGGGGTGTGCAGAGGCTGTCAGAGAGAGACCGTGAACCAAGGATGAAGAGAGGCAGAGCAATGCAGTTTTGCCTATATGGAAGAGAATTAATATTAGTGGTAATATTTTGTGGCGTTGGTTAATATTTTTATATTGCAGGAAAAATAGAGCAATGGGAGTGAATTCCAAAAGGACACCAGCAGCATTTGAAATGGCACTGACACGATGCAGCTTTAGGAACAGCATTTAACTTGAAAATTTTTACTCTTTGTATGAATTGCTGTAAGGACGCACTTGTGGAAATTAACTGATAATGTTACTGGTTTTGTCTTAGCTTGACCACACATGCTAAACGAGCTGGAGAAGCCCAGGAGCCTCTGCTGCACACGAGGCCAATTTGAATGTCAGCTCACACTCATATAATCAGATCTGAGTGAGACACATAATTGGATGATTTGGTGAATTAAAAGCCTGAGCCCCTGACTGGCAGGCTGGCACTCACCAGGCTCCGCTGCTCCCCACAGAGCGCTGTCTCACTCTGCCGGGCGAAGGCACAGGGTCGCTTTCTGCTGATGCACAGCGCGGTGGGAATAGGGGAGGGATTTGGGGGGGTCTCTCCCGCCACCAGGGGCAGGTCTGTTCAGTCAGCGCCATCGCCAGCTCAGCCCCTTTAAAGCGAGCAGCAGCCTCTCGCCTCATCCCAGACTCCGCGAGCACAGCCACGGCGCGGCTCCCAGGCAGACAGGAGATCCTGCTCAAGTGGGTAGGGGGGGGTCGGGGAATCCAGCTCAGCCTGCTGCCGTCAGTGAGACACAGCACAGACAGGGGGCAGCTCCGACCTGTGAGGAAGGCTATCGTTTTTATACGTCTCTTAGAGATCGCACAGGTCGGCAGAGGAAGGCGATGGAATCCGGAGAGCAGTGCAGAAGCGGCTGCAGACTGACTGAGAGCTTAATCACACCTGAGTTCAGTCATTAAGCGGCAGCAGCAGTGGCGGCGGCTCTACGGCGAGGCTCTGCTGAGATCCCGTCTCCGGCTGAATGGGAAGTCTCCCGGGCTCACTTTGCTGTTGCGTCGTGCAGCACTGAAGCAGGACAGTAAATGGCAGCAGCTCTTGCTGACGGGTGATCTTACTTTGATATAAATTTCAGCTGGACTCTCAGAAGCAGGTATGTTCCTGACTCTTAATTGTGCCGTGCTTGTGTGAGGCTTTCTTTCTGCTTAGGGTTTTGCTGAAGCTTCTGCGTCATTGAAGTTGCTTAACTGTTTCCCCGCGCCGTGCTTGATTTTCTTGCGTGTTTGTCCTTCGTTCAGAGGGATGCTGTTTCAGTGCCAGTGACCTCCTGCACATTTCACACGGGGCAAATGGGGAGATGAGATGTGGCCAGTGCCTCGGAACGAGCCACTAGCTGCGCTTAGCATGTAATGCGGGACCTTCCCCAGCAGTGAGCGCTCGCAGCCACGCTGTGAGTGCCCCCCCCACCCCCGCTTCTAGGAGGTTCTGGGCTTCAGTAATTCATCAATCGAAGTCAAATCTTGCGACCATGCAAGGCATAGTGATGTTGAACCCATGGGAATTAGTGTCCATTTACTTCATGCATATTCAAAAAGCCACCCACCGTCCTCTGATATTTTATGTTACTTAGTACTATTATTCTCAGGCAAACCATTGCAATGGATGTCAAACCTCCCGACCTGAACCACCAAAACAATTGGAGGCAAAAACGGCCAATGGACACAAAATTAGCAATCATGTGACATTACAGCCCCACCTCCAGCTGCGTGCTGTAATTATAGGAGTGGTCAATTCCATTTTTCATGCTATGTGTTGAGGACGCCCTCATAGACAAATTTACCCATTGGCTGGGATTTAGTGAGCACTTTCTCTAGCTCTCGAATGCCTTTTTCGTAAATACAACTTTTATGATGCCCTGAGGACATATAAATGTTTTACTTTGTTCTTTTTTGTCTCCATATATAATTCTGATTCTGGATCTTTAGAGATTTAATCCCATTTATGGGACTCAATAAATAATGCATTTATTTTGCTGGTAAAATGAAAATTCCTGTTCTGGATTACAATGAAATTCTCTTTTACAGTATGTTGAGTGTGTTTTGTAAAACTTGTAAAACTGCAGTTTTCACAGGCATTGAGAATGCTCACAAGCCCTTTTAGTCACATTTCTTTGCAGTTTTTCTCTCAAGTCTTTTTCAGGTGGTTAACTACTGAAAGCATTCTAAATGCTTTAAGCAGTAACTAAACAAGATTATCATCATCTACAGTTTAAGTATTGTAGATCTCTAATGGAAACCGGTGTCACACCACCTTGTGTGTTTGCACACAGGAGCTGTGATGTGGGCAATGAGAGAGATCATTCTATGTGGATCTGGAAATCAGTTGTGGGGTTCCTCACTGAAAGCAGTATAGGAGGTAGTGTGTGATTGGCAGGAACCGGCAGCTGGGCTCTTAATGTTCTTCTGTAGCCCGTCCGCTTTGCCATCAGCCTTGCCAGTCTCTGCTTCAGCCATTTGTATCGCTTTCAAAACATATTAAGTGACAGTTGCCCCTAAAATGACACACCACTGAGCTAGTGTTAAAGGAAAAGAACATGTTCTTGGAAAGTCAGTTTTTATTTGTAGTCTCTCTATTCTAGAATAACTTTTGGAATACAGAAAAGCAATACTTCACACATGTATGTGAGGATCTTTTCCCGAGATTTAAAAATGTAAGTTTAATATTTTGTTATACGTTGCATTGTTTATGGTTCTTTTATTTATGATCGCTGCCAAATGATTCCTGTAACCTTAGAGCGAATTAGATTGAGCTGTCAAATTACAGTGGGCAGTCAACATTCCATTACTCTGCCTAAAAATCCATATTGAAACATTTTTGCAGTGTTCAGTCTTGTGGTATTGAACCCTGCGTCTAAAATGATCATTTTAGCCAGCAATCATAATTCAGCCAGGGACACCATTGTGTTGAGAATTGTGCCTAAGTCAGAACAGATGCTTAGACCGTTCATGCAAACACCGGCTTATAATCCCCCAAAAGTAGCATTTAGTTCATTCATACTCTAAGCTTTCAAACCTGTAGTGTGTATGAAAGTATGCCTGTTGATACGTTAACTTTGGCACAAAGGTGATTAATATTTTTGTGTGTGAGAAACACTGCCCCCTCTCCCCAGTATCTTGAATCATGGTTTAATAACCAGATGCCTCCAGCTATACAGTAGGTGTAATTCCTGTAATTTTGTGGTCTGTTTTTCTGCTTCCTCCATCATCCCTTAAACTTGATCGTGTGCCTGGACTAAACCACAAAAGGGTTAATATGGAACCTCCAAGGTTTCCTCGGAAATTTTATTGTGCTAAACACCATAACGAGTGAATTCATGCTCTAGACACTTAATATCCTCTATGGAGTTAGTCTGTTACTTCCCTGTTAATGTCACTCAAATCATTTGCCTTGTGTAAAACTGAATTATGTACATAAAGGCATATGTGTTGATGATATGAAACAATGTGTTAATGTATTGCTGTCAGGTATTCTTTTAATTAATGTTTTTCTTTTAGAGCAATGCCATAAACCATGAGGAAAGCAAGTGGATTTCATGATGTTTCACACCCTCCTGTTGGATGTACAATCTTTGCAGTTTGGCTTCATCATATTTAAAAAAAAAACACAACACATTTTCATCCTTTTGCTCAGGGTTGACTTCTGAAGTGTTTGTGGATTTGTGTGTGTTTGCTGCTGGATTCCCTACCTTTTCAGCTTTATCACATTTTAAACATTGATATTCCTCTCCATGGTTTCTGCCCTATTCAAGAGCCTGACGTCCAACATTGTAAATATTTCCAAAGGAATGTTTACAAAGAAACTGGCTAATCCCACAAAGAAGAAAGAGAGCAGTGACCCTAAAAAGGATCAAAAATCCCAAACCCCAGACACCCCAAGGAATCCGACACTTTCCACAACTCTAAAGAGTACAGTGAAAAAAAATTCTCAGTGTCCCTCAGCTCGCAATATATCGCTTGAAGAAGACAGTCGTAAAAACAACTGCTCATCGCTCTCTCCAACGTTCAGTTACCGTGTAGCGATAGCTAATGGACTCCAAAAAAGTGCTCTTTTGGTTAACAATAATGAAGGTCTCCTTCAAGAGGTCTTATCCACTGAAAGCAGTTATTCTGACTCTCTGAGTGAAGGTAAATATATCCAGATATTTGATGAACACAAAGCTTTTACTATGCCAATAAGAAGGAACAGGAAAAGCCTGACCAGTCTGGCACCCTCCGATGGAAGTTCTGAGGGTGAGCGTGGGGAGCGCACCAGTCTGCATACACTACGCCTGGGAGCTTTGCGGAAACTGAGGAAGTGGAAGAAGAGCCAGGAGTATGTTTCTTCGGACGCAGATGCGAGTACCTGGCGTAAAACTCTGGGCATCCGGAGCAAGTCCCTGGACCGGGCTGGGAGGCAGCAAAAAACCAGCTCGCTAGAACCTGGATCCAGTTCCACAGGTTGCATCAGTCAGACACATGATGTCATGGAAATGATCTTCAAAGAGCTGCAGGGAATCAGTCAGATTGAATCAGAACTGTCAGAGCTGCGAGGTCATGTCAATGCACTGAAGAATTCTATCGATGAAATTTCCAGCAGCGTGGAAGTGGTGCAGAGCGAGATCGAGCAGCTGCGTTCGGGCTTCGTGCAGTCTCGGCGTGAGACTCGTGATATACATGACTACATAAAACAGATAAGCCAACAAGACAGCAAAGCAACTCTCAGGTTTCTGAATGTGCCAGAGGATGAGTTGGAAAACACAGAGGATCTCATTTACCAGATTTTCAAGGAGAAAATGGGTTTCACTGAAGTGCACAAGATGCCCAAAATTGACATCGCCCATCGATTAGGTCAACAGAGGGAATGTTCGAATGCCAAGCCCCGTCCCGTTATTGTTATCTTTTCCACCCCCCAAGACCGCGATTTAGCTTTAAAAAAATGTTACAAACTTAAAGGCACAGGTATTTCTGTATCTACTGATAGCCTTAGTCATGAAAAGGATAGGAAAGAGAAGGGAATGACCTCATCGCAAACATATGAGAGCATGGACATCAATGTTTGTACGAAAGACAAAAATGACCTTGATGACTGGGACTCAATGGACAGTGACAGAGAGTTAGAGGCTGACTTAAATAGGAATGTATATGAAATTTTGTCTAAGGCCACGCAGAAAAGTAAATCTGACCAAATGAAATCCCACGAAAGTCACGACAGGGCTAGTGATGGCATTGCATGTTCAGGAGCAGTCCATTATGCTGAGGACACTTATCAATCAATAGAATATGAAGATCAAGACAAACAAGAAAAGCCTTATTACTCAGATTTAACCCCTGCATGGCTTTCCCAAAGTGAGTACTCAACTCCTAAGCTGAGTCATTCTGAGTCAGACTGTTCAAAGCTGTGCCAGTCCTACTCTGAGGATTTCTCCGAAAACCAATACATAGGCCGAACCAACGGCTACTCTTTATTGTCGTCTTCAGATCAGGAGTTGTGGCAGAGAAAGCAGGAAGACATGACTTCCACATGGTGTCCGACTCCACCTAGTCAGTCACTTAGTCAGGAAAATCAACCCTTTGTGGAACCAAATGAACCAGAGACCACAGAGACTGTTGACAGTGGCGTGAGCAATGGGCTGGTATGTGTGTCAGGTGACAGGAGCCACTACAGTGGTTCCCAGCTGTCTCTGCAGGGTGACCTGTCTCCTTGGAAGGACTGGCACCATTTGGAACAAGGTGCAGATTCGGGCTTTGATGCCTCAACAGAACAGAACCTAGTGTCAGAGGTCAGCAGTCCCTTTGACCCCACAGCTAATCCCGGGTTTCCCGAGAACATCATAAAATGCCAAGAAGTGGACTTACAGTTTGAGGGCGAAAACTACATGACCCTAGACAGTACCCCTTCTACATGCCCAGGTCTGGAAAGTGAAACGGCCAGTCAGCCTGATGCCCAAAGTGATCCAGAGCTCAATGGCAGCCATTTTTATCAGAACCAGACCAAGTCCTCAACCATGTATCGCAGTCAGAGTGAGATTACAAGCGAGAAATCTGAGGAGGTGCCTAAATCCTGGCACAGCCGACTCAGCATCGATCTCACTGACAAAACATTCAGTTTCCCAACATTTGGATCAACTCTGCAGCGAGCCAGATCTGCCCTGGAGGTTGTCTGGAACAAAAGCTCCCAGAGCACGAGTACCCCAGCGGCACCCTCCTCTAGCTCCACTGCTGCCATGGCTACAGAGGAACCTGCCAATTCCACATTCATGGGCGGATTCAGGACTCTGTCTCAATCCACAGTCAATGACTCAAGCACGACAATTGATTCAGACGTGTACACTGAGCCCTTCTACTACAAGGCTGAAGAGGAGGAGTGTGGTGAGCCCACTGTAGACAACGAAACCCATTACGTTGAGGTCATGGAGCAAGTGCTTGCCAATCTGGAGAATCGTACGAACACCAACGAGCCCGAAGAACAGTACCAGGACTACAGGCTTCCAGAGGAAGGGACCTATGTGCTGGAATACGACTGCAGCTACGATGAGCAGTATGAAGCAGAGTACAGTGAGGAGTATGATGAGGACCAGGTCACTGAAGAAACAGCTGAATATGACGTTGTGGCATATGCAGAGGATATGGGTGAGATTGAGGACGCTGAGGAGCAAGTGGACTATGGGGAAGCTGCAGAAACTTCTGCAACAGAGGAAAGTGGTGAAATAAAGGACATTATTGAGAAAGAGGATGAAAATCAAAATGTGCCTGAGGAACAAAACATTGCAACTCCACCCAAGAAGAGGATAAGACCAACTTTTAAGGAGGCTGCATTGAGGGCATACAGAAAACAAATGGCTGAATTGGAGGAACAGATTCTTGCTGGAGGTACAGAATACTGTGTACTGCTGAGTTTTGTTTGTTTGTCTCATTATTCTCTTTAGCCTATAATTACTACTATTAGTTTGAGACTTTCTGGGAAAATCTGTTTTGTAATTAATATTACTTTGAAATACATTTTAAACATTATTTTAACTTTAGTTGTCAAATAAATTAATATAACATTATAAAGATTAAATCACCTTGCAGCAGACTGTAATTATTCCAAATTCACCATGAAGTGGAAGAGGCTGTTAATTTGACTGGAAACCCCAGAATCTGCTCTACCAGTGCCATGGTACAGTCAGTGGAGTTACTGAACTAGTCTGCTAAAGGAAAAGGAAAGGACAATAATGGTATATTTTTGCATGCTGGCTCTGTTATTTAGGAAAACTCAGATCTCTTACATTGGCAGGTGTATTGGGGTCAGATGGTGTGCTGTACGCATGTTGCGTGTGCGTGTTGATGTTACATTTATGCATGTATGCATGTTGTATTTCTTGAAGGGATTGATGATTTTTCATTAGTAGAAAACCCTTTCCAGCCATTATTTATATGAGTTACATTGTGTCCTTGACCTCCATTAGTCCTCACAGAGGGATAAACCGGAGCAGCATGAATCTGTAATGGTAGGCAGGCTAGGACCTGAGCCAACCAAGGAAAATAATAAATTGTTTCAATCAGAAAAACAAAGAGAAGACTAGGAAGTGGTTAGGTTAGTGCAGTGTGCAGTTGTATGGCTGTAGTGTGTGCATAGTTTGTAATTTATTCATTTTTCCCAGAATGCCGTTTGGCAGTTACTCTGTGGTTGCTTTATGGATTGATTGGGCAACTGGTTGGTTGCTTGGTATGCATATCATAAATGATTATGTTGCAAAAGCACAATGTATTTTTATAGTGCTGTTAGGTGCTGCAGGATGTGCATGATAATGTGAGGTCTTCAGGTTCTTGAGGAAAAGATGAGGCCCTTTGGCTTCTCTTACATAGTAGAGGGACTTAAGAGTCAGTTTCTGACCTAGTTAATGATAGCCTCCAGCTTCAATGTACACGCAGTGTGAACATGGGGCGCCATCTTTATTCTGCAGTGCCCTTCTATTGCTTGGCACTTTTCATATCATACTGTATTATTTTTTCCTTTAAAGAATTGTGTTGTGAGTTTGACCTCTGGTCCTGTATGTCTGGAATTTGCAGGTTCTCTTTGTGTTTGGGTTTCAATTAGGAATTTGCAGGTCCTCCTTGTGTTTGGGATTGAGTTATGAATTTGCAGGTTCTCCTTGTGTTTGGGTGTTCTTCTCCTAGGTACTCCAGGTTCCTCCCAGAGTCAAAAGAAATTAGATGAATTTTGTGTGCTCTGCGATGGACTGGATCCCAGGCAGGGTGTCTTCGATCTTTTGCCTCACTGCTATAATTCACTGGATAAGTTATGTAAAATGGATGCACGGGTTTTGACTTCAACAGTTTACCATTTGTATTTCTCAGCCTTCCAATCAACTTGGCTGTGTCGTGTTAAATTTAATTTCCATTTATATTGAGAATGATTCTGCCATTTCATTGTTTCATTGTATCAATTTTATAATGAGGTGACCGTGTTTGAATGATGATTAAATTTACAGTGATTGTGTTGGTTTCTTTTGTCAATGAGATATTGTGTATGAAAGCAAAAGTTTGAATTGTAAAATGATGAGGATGCACAAGACAGTGAATTGCCTTCTGTTTCACTCCTGGTCTATTATCTGCATCCAGAGAATTATCTGGGTAAATTCCATAGGAGTAGTGGCACAGATGGTGTCTGTTTACATATGCTGAAGTTTGCGGTGACTATGTCATTGACTGTATTTCTGTTTTGGAGTTTGCATGTGACTGTTAGTGCTGCTGAATCACTCCTCATTCAACACACAGACATGGCAAAGAGTCATAAATCGCACCGGTCTCTGTTGCTGATGGCAGCTTAGTGTTTGCCCTGATGTATTATTTAGGACTTAATAGGATGTGATGCATGGTTGTGATTTTACTCATCACAGAGCCTTAGCACATAACTGTTTTTTTTCATATGTTACATGAGGTATAACTGTGGACTCTCACCAGTGTTAATATCTGTCTTTGCACTATTAGAAACTGATGTACAAAAGATCGCAAAAGTTGTGAAGGACTTTGCATCGAATCTTGTTCCCCAACTTCATTGCTTTTTCCAGTAGCTCCTTGATCAGGTCTTTAGCTTCTGTCAGGCCAATCTTCACTTCACTAGAGCTGCTACTGTATTGAGATGCTAATTCCATTCCCCAAGGGCATTTTCTAACCAGGTCAGCGTTGTTTAGAATATTTCTTCTGCAGCCTTGTGAAAGCCTGCCGTAGGTTCTTATAAGGGACGAAAAAGAGGAGAGCTCACTCTGTAGGCCAGAATGTATGGGTGGAATTAAGCCTGTAAATTTCATGCAGCTCTATTGCTAGAAATAACATGAGTGGTGCTGAACTCGAATATTCAAGTGCAAGTTGTATGACATTTTTAAAATGGAGCTAATTACTGGTTTTTATTGAGTTGAGCAGTTGTTGCTGGAGTGTGAATGTTAAAACTGGACATGAAGATATGAGGATCTCAGTTTCAGAAGCCACTACGACTGAGTAAAATGTCAGTCACTGAAGGGAAGAGATCTTAAATGATGATCTTATTGAAAAGAGAGACTGAACCCTATAATTTGGAGGTAAACATTGTGTGAATGTCTTGGGGAACTAATAAAATTGTACTCCACTTCATTTTGTGGACTGAGGTGCAGTTCCACCATCATTAAGTGACCAGCAAGGATTTCCTTCTCGCAGTATGACTCCCATGGATTTGGTGTGAACTGAGCCGAATATTGGTTAATGCTAGTTCTTAGTAGCTAGTTTCCATGAGCTTACAGTATGTGGTGTTCTCTAATTAAGCCCAAGATGAAAGATGACAAAGTCTTTGTGATCCTTTTACTATTGCACTGCTGCATTTAACCAGGAAACCCAAACCATTCAATTCCTTTGGGAGCTATTTGATATTTTTATGACCACTGAAGGAAAGACATTTTTTTCCCGCACATTACATTAATGTCATTTTGTACCATCAGATGTTTGCTATTTGAGAAGCAGCGATAATGGCATCGGGTAATGAAAATGTTGCCACAGTACACATTTAAATCAAATACATAATAGCAGACTAATTGGCAAACACTTCACATGTCCCCTGCTTTGCTATGTGTTAGTCCTGATCTGTTCTAGGCAGGAAACAAACCTGATTCTGGTCAGGGTACAACAGCATACAATGGAGAAAAATCAGCCTTATTGGTTAATTATGAAACACTCATCACACAGTTCCAACAGCCCTTCCTTTCAACCTTTTCTTGGGATTGGCCTCTGTAGATTTTGATTTATCAGGTAAATAGTTAAGATTCTGTTTTCCCAAATTCTGCACCCAAGACCATCAGTGATTGGATCAATGATTCTCTAAATTGAGGAATAAACATTTCTTAAAAGATGGACCTTTAAGTATTTGGCATATTGGAGGAATGTATATTTAAATGTATTGAATGTATGTGTAGTATTACAGATAAAAAAAAGCCATATGTACCAGTGGTATAGTTGACATAGCATCTAGCTTCTCAGTGACTTGATCTTCTGGCTGCACAGTACAACAGGAGGGGTGACAAGAATTTACTGTTGACTAATCGGGATTTCTTTATGTAAACTGAGGTGACAGTTGATGGCACTGACTTTTCTTAGACTGTTCTTTTTTTTTATTAAGGTTTCATAAAGCATTTGTTTTATGATCATATCCTTGTTTTATATTTTAAACTTAGAGTGCCATTTAATATTGGTGGTGCAGGGAATTCAATTACGATACAGATTCTGGGGTTTCTAAGTGCGGTAGATTGAATTGTTCTTGGGAAAAGACACAGCCAATGTCGTTTTCATTGGTGCCTCTATGTTTTATGAGTCTCTTTTGGTCAGTCAGCTCTTTGTCCAGGTTGTGGTACTTCTTTTAATAATTTAGTTTTAATCACCCCTAGCCTGCATTATTGCTAGGTGCATATTCTTTGCTCTGTACCTGCAGTGAATTTTGAAGCTCTTTGATTATTTGGGGTTTCCAGCGAGAGGCACGTTGTGTGTCTCCAGCTGGTGATTTGTGATGCTCTTGTAAAGATTTGCTTCAGTATCTCTTTATGGTTTCCCCCATTACCCAGGATGTGTCGCCATTCCTGCGTGCTTTTATTATTTGAATGAGGTGTGATTGTGAGGCCCAGTCTGTCAGTTTCTAGTGTCGCCGGTGGTTTTGGGTTCTAACAATGTTCCCTTTCTCCACGGTTCTCTTTCAGATAACGCTGCACTGGACGCACAGGTTTTCAAACTGCTGCTCCTTGCCTTTTCTTTGGCCTCATGTGTCATCGTCGTCCCCGTCCGCATTCTTTCGTGTCTGTGTTTATGCCTGCTTAACGTCATCTGACCTTGCATGCTCACCACTGCATTACATTTTCCTTACCGTCGATGCATTTGTAAACAGGATGGCCCTCATGCAATGATGATGATTGTTGCATAAGCACCGTCGGAAAGTAGCAGGAGATAGTGTCACTGCACCATCCAGCATGATGATGCTGAGATTTTGAGCCATCTTTGTCACAAAGTTGAACCTTGAAAGCTGCTGGCTGAAAGCCATAGAGCTGCTCTGCTCTGACACCCTGTGCAGATGTACATAGGCTGAACCGCTACAGCGAAGCACACTGCCATATTTGGACACGGGTCGCTTCGGGTAGAAGCCTCACCTAAGAGATGACACGGTTACGTGATCTGCAGGAACACAAGTGCACTCTCCAGTGACGTGTACATTGTCTCTTGTGTGAAGGCACGGCTGGCGAGCGGGAATGTCCTGGATCCCTCCAAACTGCTGGGGCTTCAGGGAGCTGGCGGGTGAGTGAAACCGGTATTGAAAATCCGGTTAATGGCTTTGCTGGTTCTGAAACTCCACAGCAGGAAACGAGGCAGTTTTTAAATAGTATATCATTATTTTTCAGCAGTTACTGAAGTAGACTTAAGCTGCAGTTAATATAAAATGATTTTTGAACATGCCCAGACGTAAACTGACCATGGTGAGGAGAGTATGCTTTCTCACAAACAGGTAGATACTGTTGTATTCAGATGATTATGTGTTGATGACAGAGAATATGAGCCTATAAAGACGCTTCCCAAAGTATTACTAAAAGTTGTAGCATTTGCTTATTGTACTTTGCCACACTTATTGCTGTCTTATTGTGTGTCATGTCGTTATTGCCTATTACATTGTAATATATGTTGTGTATATCGTGTAACTTCAAATTTACCTTCACTAATTTCACCCATCTGGAATGGCCTCCTTGTTGAGGCACATGTCAGGGGGGGGCACACAGCTCCCCCGCTGTGAGTGCTGTCAGCCCCTTTATTCTTTTTGGCATGTGGGCTCCATATATCAGCTTAACTTGCTCTGAGGAGAGCACCATTCGGCAGTTTGCACCTGGCTGACCGTAGATATAGCCGCAGAGCAACGGCGAGGAGAGAAACCCAGCCATCTGGCACTATGCAAGCCTGGAACAATCCCCTGCATAGATCATGCCATGGTTTGGTAATCAAAGGAGTATTGGACCATGAAAATCATTCTTAAAAGAAATCACATTAAACCCCTTTGATGTTATATGGTCCTACGGGGGTAGGCAGACGAACCAAAATACAGCTTCCGCGAAAACTATGGTGGGAGGCAGGAGGATCAACTGGGCCGGTGCAGTTAGCATCTCACATGTGTTTACTTGCCCAGTTTGGTCCACAACAGGTTATACTGGTAGTTGCTGAAAGATAACTGGACAATCATGAATGTTTTATTGCAGTGGAGTTAATTGTAGGCCTGTTAACAGTCAGACAGTCATCACTTCTTCATTTTGTATTAATTCTAAATCTTCCTTTATCATGGAAGAGCATGTCAATCTTTGCATAACTTCAGAGCTTTCAAAAAACCGTCCAGCTGAGCTCATCGATGACGAATGAGGGACAGAAGTCCCTGCAGGGAATTTCATGGAAACGGGAGCCGTCGGTGTAGGAGCAGAATATGGATGAGTTGTCTAAACACCTTTGGCTGATGAGTGATGCGAAGATACCACAGGCCACTGGTATGGCCTCAGGCTCCGTACTGGGTGATAAAAGCTTTCCTGGAGAAGACACCAAGAACAGCAGCTAGAGTATAACAGAGAGAGGGGGAAAACAGATGGTAATCTAAGCAGCGATCGGGGCTGATGCGTTTGTCGATCGCATACAGTACAGCTGCATGGACTGACATTGGCAGCTACTTGTAATTTAAGACCATAAAATGTGAAAGTAGTGAATTAATATAAGGCTATTCAGAATTACCACCACCCCCCATCTGTGGGTCCCAGCTCCCATCTCTGAGACGGGGGAATGGCAGGGAGGAGTGACCACAGTCAGGCCCAAAATGGCACTGGCCCCACAGTTCGTGACTCCCGCGCTTTGACTGGCTGTTGCACCTGGAAGCCTCATGGCCTCCAGACATCCGACACCTGGGGAGTGCTATTTAAAGTGGCTCTGTGGCCGTGGAGTGAAACAAAAAAAGGCGTTCGTCGTTTTTGATAGTGCCCCATAGTCCTGCCCCATAGTCCTGGGGGTAAAAAGGGGGTCTCCCACAAGCCAGAGAGCAGGGGGAGCAAAGAAGATGACAGAGAGCCTGTGGTGTTTGCCAGCACATAAACGAAATGACCCTTTTTAGCTCTGCTATGTCTTCCACGGCGGAGCATTATTATGATATTAATACAGCATAAATCTGTCTCCCTTGCCAGGCCTGGCAGCATACTTTATGGTATTGACAGCATGCCAGATTTACGGCGCAAGAGAACCATGCCCATTGTTCGAGACCTGGTGAGTTATCTAACCTGGACGAGGTTTATTCTGATTAGTGTTTCTCTTCATTTGACTTGTTGCACGTGTCGCTTTCTGTGGTGACATTTTTTAACTTAAGAACAATTAACAAGATCTTTGTCCCATTAATATTTGACATTATTGTTATGCATTTTTTCTGGAGGTGCTATCAGTGAACTGTACAGCTGATAGGATGACAAGATCTGACTCAAACAGTTTAAGTTCTTTTCATTGTGTTTTAGCGTTTTGCGTGCCACCCCCAATAATTATTAGGATGTATGTGATTAATCGGCTGTGATCCTCAGTGTTCGTATTGAATTAAATAAATTCAGTACTTGCAATTATGATAGTGATTACATAATACTGAAGGACTGTATTTGTCGTCTCTCGTATATATAAAAAACTACATTCATCTGGTAAGTATGGGTTGCCTATTATTTTTAGGTTCTGCATAAATATTTATGATGCCATACCACACATGGACCCATAATAGCTATGGGTAATATTTTTCTGTGAGTTGTCAGATTTCTGTCTGATTAACGTCTTCATTCTGTGGGACCTTGTTGTAATTAGTTGTTTGAAATGCTGACAACTCATCCCAAAAATATATCTGAGGACTTCATTGAACTTTGATTTAACTGTGCTGAGGCTCTTAAATCCTGTAAAAGCGATGGGTAGCAAAGCCTTTTACAGCCCAAATGAAGTCGTTGAGCTTAAGGTCGGACTTGGTGTCGTCTACTCGCTCTGCCGTCCACAACAAGCTGCATGACTGCTTCAGCACAGTGACGGCGTCATATTTTGTTTTGGGTGTGGGGCACGCTGGGAGTGAGGAGGTGTAGGAACATTAAGCCACTGATAGGTGGCAAACAAACAGTCTGTGCTTTAAAATATTACGATGCCTGCAGTGACCAGAGCAGGTGATATGCATGTTCGACAGGCTTACAGTTCATGCAGTTCACCTTTGCTCCTCAGCCCTGCCCAATTTCCAGTTTCTTGCACTTACCTCCTTCTTCAACTTGGCTATAAATGAAGGTTGATGGTAAAGACTGACATGATAACGTCAACTGTCGATGCCTTCAGTCCTGTGAACCTGACCTCCTCCTGGCCTTAATTGTAACACCTCCCTCTCGCCCTCTCTCTGCCTCTCTTTTATTACTTGGACTGAGATCAAAATGTACACTATAATTTATCTGTGCATCAGCACAGCAGCGTGAGTGTCACTGTAGATGAGTGCATGTGAGCTTTGTTTGCCTGCGTGGTTTTTTTTTTCCTTTGCAGCACAGACAGCAGAGGTATCGATGGTGCCACCAAGCACGAGTTGGGTTTCGAAGTGTAATGCATGCACTAGTAATCACTCAACAGTTGTTTCGCCTGTATTAATTAAAGGCAAGAATAGCATCTCCACAGACTTACACGATGGGTGGAGAAACACCTTGCATGGCTAAAATACACCTTTGCAGTAGATATAAACATACCTAGTGTGTTGAGTGGTTGTCTTTGCTGGTTAGGATCTGTGTTGAGTCTTTGCCAGATTTAAACTCATTCACTTTTGTCCTCTCTTCAATCTGGTTCTGGAAATCACAGGCATTGGTAAGTTACTCTTCTGTATTCTACACCTTGTATCTCTTCTTGTGCTTATGTGCAGAGTCCCTGTCTCAGCATCTCTGCCTGTTTTTTTGTTGTGAGGTGTTTAAACATGCATAATTTTTTTTCAAAATACGTAAGATTCAAAAGGAGTTAAAATGACAGCATTCAACTAGTTACACAATCCATGCTTGCAATATACAGGTATCCTTCTAGAAAGAAAAATCTTTGCTTATTACTGTAATTTTTTATTACTCTTTACAAAGTTATGACCAAACGAGGCTGGTCCCCTTCAGTGACTCATCTGTGATCTTATGATCTCATCTTAGTTTATCTAGTAAATTGAGGTTAATGATAATTACACCTCCGACTTATGGGGTTTCACCTTTGGAGAAATGCATTAGGTTTGTATGTAGGGAGCCATTTTAATACCTCTATTGCAATCCTCCATTTTGATTTTGAGGTAATAAAATGTCATACCCCAAGTGAGGTAATTAAACGTTTGAATAATGTTTCAAAGTCAGCCATAAACTGAACAATTTTTTGCATCTCAGGGAAAGATTGTGTTATTCCCGTAGCAGGAATCCTTACAGAATCACTCAATCCACAGTGTTATAGGGGTTGTGTTCATGTTGCTAGTAGGATTGTCTTGCCCCTGGAAGCTGTTTTTAAAGCAGCAGCGGCACTTAGTTTGAACCCTGAGCAGTCGAAAAATTGGTCTCTTTCTTCAAATCTGTTGTCTCAAACCAAAGATTGCAATCGGCATATTAATATTGTGTATTCTTTTGTAGACTTTGGCTGCCCGAAAGGCTGGTGTATCCTTTGCTCTGGTGGCCAGATCAACCCTGAACAACGAAGACCTGGTAAGTTTTTCCTATATGGCGCAGTATTAAGATATACATCGCAGCCCAATCAGCAAGTGTTTACCCAGCAGAAGGCAGTGGGGTTTGACTAATGTGACACGCCATGCATAAACGCAAATAACGGCGACAATTAAAGGATTAGCGACGGTTCACATTGATCTAAATTTTTAATTTGCGCAGCTCTGAAATTAACAGCACTTGCAGTTGTTATCAAATACCTCTCTGAGGCTAACTGCCAGCCGTGGTGTGTGTACTGGGAATTGAGGATGGTGCAAATCTATGGCTGGATTTATGAAAAATTTATATCGATATATCAGTCAAATGCAGTTAAATATGGTGTTTTCTTGGTCAGTTTTTTGAAGTCAGCATGTTGTGTGTGAGGATATCTCAGAAAAAAGGTGCTCTGTTCTTTGCAAGACAAAACTCCCGCTTTAATTATGTAAACTCCTTTTGACTGAAGTCAAGCCAAAAGAATCTAGAGCCACACTTTAATCAATGAATGGCTTTGTCTTCCATTCCGCTGACCTCCAGAAGTACTTGCATTAATTGATTGGAATTGATTTGCAAGCTTTCCTGCCTTCATAAATAAAACAGTGTCCAGGCTGATGTGAAGAAAACTGTAATGCAGCTTAATTATATCGCGTCCCTAGGAATCATTTATATAGCAAAGGAGTGTTTCCTCAAAAGGCAGTCATGTTCATGAGAGGATTAGTGAAAACAGTTCCTCTTTGAGACATGTTGTTAAATGACAAAAGATGTGTTTTGTTTTAATATATATATTTTGCTACATTTTCCTGCCATACCTGTACCTTATTTTAGGATAAGTATGCATTACATGTTCCAGGATACCTTTGAATTCTTCCAGTGTTTTTTTTTTTTATTTTAAAGATGGATTTTTTTAGGTTTTATTTCTTATTGAGTTGCTGGCTCAGCAAAGCACAGTATAAATTGAACTTTGAGTTTTCAGGGGTGATTCTCCAGATTGTCGGTGTTAGATGTACCCACAGAATCTGTGTGGGCATGTGCCTAGGGCTCCGTTGTTGGTTTGTCTTAAATCCTTATTATGAGCACACCTCCAGATCCTCAGTGTGGGCGTGTCCTCATATCCTTAGTGTGGGCCCGTCCTCAGAGCTCCTGTGTGGGAGTGTCTTTGGAGCCTCAGTGTTGGCATATCCCTGGAGCCTCACTGAGGGTGTATCCACATAGCCTGTCGGTATGTATTTTGTCCAAAAGACTATTTATGTTTGGGCATATCTTAATACCACCTTTGTAAGTGTATTGTGGTGGTCTGAAAGTCACAGCAGCAGTTACAAGGGTAACTTGAACACCACCAGATGCCAGTGTGTCTTTCAGCTCACGTTTGAAGCGCTGTTTGAAGGTGCATCAGCCGTGCCAGTGATCAGAGGTGTGCTAACAAGGACATGGAAGCGCTCTGCCTCCAGCCATACACATTCAGCAGAATTCCCTCGCTCCAGAGATTATGCAGTGACAGGAAGAAAGTGAGCCGAGTCTGTTCCTGGAATCCTGGAATGTCCACATAGTATAGGCGGATGTACGTTTCTGTTGGTGTTTTGTTTTGTTTTTTAAACATTTGACATTTCCTGTATGTGGAAATGTGAATTGAGGGCTAATTGTTGCCGCAGGCATGATATGGGTGGCAAGACACCTTGGCGTAGTAGTATTGACATCAAATTTAGTTAAATTCTGCTCTATCTTCAGTAATTACTTGCGGCTAAAATAGTGTACTGTATGAACTCTATTGTTAGCAGCCGGAGGGTCTTGTTCTACTTGTCCTGTCGCTGGTGTTTCTGCTCATGTATTATTCTCTGAGTCATTTCCTGTGCGCAAATCTGACTTCAGGTGATATCCTGAGAGGGCGTTTGAGGGATGTCTCTCCGAGATTAACGCGATTCCCCAGTCGGCAATGCAAGAGCAGCCACTGTGCTGGTGTTCTTCGTCGCGTAGCAGTCAGTCAAGCTTCACAGAGGCCGTAGGTCGATACCATACGTGTCCATGCCATGTCTGCCAGAGTTACGCCACAATCGATGTGGTCAAGCCTTCAGTGGACTTCACCTTCAGTACTAACTACAGCCCACCTTGCTAAATAGAAACATGAACACACAGGTGTGTGTAATAGAGAGGATGTGTGTTGCAGGGTATGTAGCGGTTAGCAAATGTATTTGACTTTTTAACTGGAGCTTTGCTATTATTCTTGTGCTGTTTTTGCTGCTCTAGATATGGCCTACAAGGAACATACCAATTAAGTTAATTGTATGTATAAAACCCAAATATGCTGCCAAGCCATATTTATTATTTATCTCTCTCAGCAAGCATACTTACTTTCATAGTAATAGTCAATAACCCAAACAAACTCAAAGTGTAATCATCAATTTTGTAGAAGGTGTAGGAGCGAAAAGGCTTGAGTAATATGCATTGGACTAGAAAGAATCAATTTTATTTGGTTGTTTACAAATGTGTTTACAAGGGGCAGGCTTATTTTATTTACTCTATTCTGTGGTTGTAATTAAGTTAATCCCAATACAAGGCGGCATAAATTTCAGTCTGTTCTAGAGTCCTTTAGAGCAAAGAAATAAATATATTTGAAGCTTTCATGATCGTTTGACTGGCCAGTTCAGTCATTTTTGAGTCTTTGTTGTTCGTTTTTAGGAATAGTGTCTTGCGTAGGTGTTCAGCACTGCACTAAACAAAGCGTTCTGTATCTTAAATCCAAGATTCCTCCACAGTATTGGTTCCCTCTGCCATTTTTTCTGCTTATGTCAGCCTAATGATGTTGCCATGTGTTTTCCTGGAGTAACAGTATACACACGCACACACATATTTTTTGTTAATATAAGAAATTTAACCGCAATTCTAAAATGTCATACAGTAAGCCCTGTTTATCCATAGGCCAGCACACACAAATTAGTTTTGCCACTGGCAATTTTGGCCCCCGCCACTGACGTCGGAGGCCGGTAGTATGAGCGCGCCCAGGGGGAGAGTGTTAATGGACGCGAAGGCGCGTTGGCGCCCTCGCCGCCGCCTCGCTGGCTCTGTGTGTGTCGATCGGCTCGGCTCCCTTAGCTCCCATGCACGACGGCAAGCCGTGAGCTCTGTAGATAACACATTGACATCTGTTTCGCGAAATCTCCCCCGGACAGGAGCATGGAGCTATTTTCGAGGCAAATACGCAAACACACAATGCAGCCTGTTCCGCTGTGGCTCCTTGGCTCCGGCAAAGCTGTGATCGTGCCTCTCAAGTGTCGTGGGTGTTTTTGTATCCGGTGCCGTTTATGTGGTGGCCTGGCCTTCCCCAGACACGTACGGATTTGCGTGCTTTTGGTAAATTGTAGCGGTAATTAAATTTGCAGTATTTTGCCGTAGAAGGACCAGGCTGTTGTAAGAATTCTTGGGAAAGTACGTGTTAACCAGAACAGTGGTGGCTGTAGAAATAATAATAATTATTATTTAGTATGTTTTATTTCTGTTGCCAAGGTTTTAATATATTCTAATTAATGAAAAATGTTTGTGCTTGACATTTGCTATTGTTTTTTTTTTTTTATTTCACCAGCAATTACTTTCAATTTTTACAAACAGTTGTTCATGATGTATTTCCATATATCAAACTGACAAGAAAAGAGACTTTGTGGATGAACGCAAAAGCTCCATTAACAAAGCTAGATGCTGAAACTCAGTATTTAGTGTGCGCCTTATTGAGCAGACACTCAAGTAAAAAGGCTAATTTGTTACGCAGAAATCAATACCCTCATTTTGAGATGCAGGGCGTAGCTTACAAACCTTTTCGGGTGACAGTGCCGTTCAATTTGAGTGATTTTTGATTAGCCCCTTAAGTTTAACCAAAAAACTGTACTTAAACTAATGAAATGAAGCACCATGAAGTAAAACTTCCCGAAAGTGTAAGGCAAATTGAAAATATCGGAAAATAGCATGGTACTTAGGAAAGTGTTACCCGACAGTTTCTCCTGCCTTCGTCCGCTGTGGTACTCTGCAGTAACTGATTAATTTGCTAATTAATATTTCTCTAATCATATATCCAGCTGTATAAATATTCAATTCAGTTCAATTCAATTCAATTTTTATATTTATAGTGCATTTTATCAACATTTCATTGTCTCAAATTGCTTTACATTATCCCTGCCCAAAGCCCCCAGTGAGCCAGCCAGAGGCGACAGTGGCAAGGAAAATGTCCCTAGTAGGAAGAAACCTCAGGAGGAACCAGATTCAAAGGGGGAGTCCAACCTCCAGGGGCTGGCAGAGGAAGTCAAATGAACAAAATCCTAATTTACACAGTGCAACTTTTAAGATTCGAGTCTAAATGCGGAGGACAGGCAGGTGACAGCACACAGGTGCTGGTGCTGCCTCTGGCAGAAGGACAAACAGTGGTACAGCAGCAGGACAGGCAGGAGATACGTCATAGGCAGAAGGGCAGGCAGGAGATACGTCACAGGCAGAAGGGCAGGCAGGGTGAAAGGATGTCACAGGTAGTAGGGGCGTTTTCATTTGTGTCTCTAGGCAGCACACCCCTGGAGGGGTGGGTGGGTTAAAAAGTCAGCTTGTAAATTGCTGTGAACAGAAACAACAGCTATGCAACTGGACATAATGTCAGCTTGATAATGTCTGTGTTTGCAGTTTCTTGGTGCCCCAGCTAGAACCAACCTGCCCAGTGCTTCTCTTCCAGAAACTGCATGTCTTGAGGAAAACCCTGCAGGCCTTAATTTACCCGATCTCCTCCACCACACCCCACAACTTCGAGGTGTGGACGGCAACGGCGCCCACATACTGCCACGAGTGCGAGGGGCTGCTCTGGGGCATCGCGCGCCAGGGCGTCCGCTGCTCCGAGTGCGGGGTCAAGTGCCATGAGAAGTGCCAGGACCTGCTGAACGCCGACTGCCTGCAGCGTGAGTCCCACCCCTCTCGTCTGCCCTATGTGGGGGCTGCCGTCCAGCCTGGGAATTTCTTACTGCCTCTTACAGCTGCCGGTTTGAGAACCCAAAGGCTGCATCAGTTCCAGCAGGATAACAATTAAAATAAACTGAAGTCAGACTGGACACCCTGTTGTGCAGAAACCAGCAATGCTTTTTATCGTTGGACATTCAGTGTTTTTATCATTTACTGCTACCTCTCAGTGGCCAAAGAAGCAGGATTACATTTACCAGTAATGCTACTTATAATACAATTAGTGAGGTGCTAAATTTCATTGGAAGGTCCAAAGTGAGCATACGGTGTGATGGACCAGCATCCCATTTAGGTTGTTCCTGGGGTAGGCCTCAGGCTCACCAAGACCCTGCATGGATGGATGGATATCCACTGATTTTTAGGAGTTTCAGTCTGTAGATACTAGCCAGATACCCAAAACCTCACTGCTGCTTATTATAGAATAAAATAGTGATACTTTATTAATCCCTACGGGGAAGTTCTCTTTTCACTTGACCACATCTTGCTCTTCATGAGATACACACTGTTACCTCCTGCCCTTCTGGTCTAAGGGGGAGTTCAGCAGGGGCTACATCATACCAGCAGAATAAGGAACAAGGAGAAACAGGGAATAGTGCAACTGGGTTTATGTACAAAAGGGAGACTAAAGTGCCTATGTACTATTTACACAGAACGTGAAACACAGGAGAACAGAAGAAAAAATAAACCGCAGACACAGGTAGGGATGACAGATGATGCCAAAGAAAAGAAATCAAGAAAACAGAAGCTGACTACAAAACAAAGATTACATCTAATCTACAAACAACCCAAAATATGTAACAAAAAAACAGGGGGACAATCCACTTCTTACCTTGGGTTTATAGCAAATATCCTCCTGCGGGTGGTAGGCACAGCGTAACTTCCCTTGTGCCAGCCCTGGTCTGAGTTGAAGCAGCAAAAGGAAGGAAACAGGCGCAGGGGTACATATAAACTAAACCATGGACAATGACAAGTGAGTGCTAAGTTAAGGAAGATGGGAGAAAAAAACGTTATATATTGCGTAAAACAGGTGTTGATTGGATGAGACAGGAGATGGGTGTGAGCAAAGACCAGTCAAATGGGCAAATGGAACCGAAAGAAAGACATCAGAACAAAGACAGCCCAATATATATTCCTAAATATATAATTATTCTGTTTGCTACACCCATATATCCTTAAATATTTTGATTATGAAGTTAAGATACTTCAGGTACTCTACCTGAATCACTCCTATAAAATATATAGATACATAATATAAGTAACATAAATTGGTTATGTATTCACCTCTGATATGATACTCATGATACATAAGGATTTTTATCTTTCAGAATGAAAACATCAACAAAGACAAAAGAAATTCAATTTCTGAAAAGGCGAATGCTTGAGTGGGACGTCACTGTGAAGACACTTGGTTTTTAGCTCAAGGCCCTAGTGTGTACAAATTTGAAATTTTTTTATTAGCACTATAATAATGTGTGACTCACAACTGAGTTCTTTTTAATATTGAAAATTTGGACTTTTTTAAGAAAGTCCATAATAGCTTTTTTTAATATTTAACTTTTTTTCAATTAATGGTTCATTTATCATGACCTCACTTTTCAAAGTCTCGGTAAATCCTTTTAATCTGGGTAACAAGGCAGGAAAAAAGCGTTGATTATTCTAGAGGTGGCACAGCCGCAGCATTCCTTTAAAAGCAGCCACCCAGGCTGACCAGGAGAGGCTTCCCCAAGTAGCAGCATACTTTTCTCTGTGCAGGAGCTGTGGAGAAGAGCTCCAAGCATGGGGCAGAAGACAAAACCCAAAATATCATCATGGCCATGAAGGAGAGGATGAAAATCAGAGAGAGGAACCGGCCTGAGGTGTTCCAGCTCATCCAGGAGGTGTTCCAGATCTCTAAGGAGGACTTCACCACTCATTTGAAGGCAGCAAAGCAGGCAGTTTTGGAGGGCACATCGAAGTGGTCCGCCAAAATCACCATTACAGGTAAAGTAATGAAAAATACTGCCTTCCAGCCAGTCAACATAAAATTTCCTATTTTCTCCCTGTATCTGGGAGACCAAACCTGGACCTTCTCAATAATTCTCTCCTCCATATGCACCACTCTGCTGTCGCGATGCCAACCATGAGAGATTAAATCACGGCTTCATTTACCTCGCACCTGTCCGGACTTTAAAGTTTAAAGTGACACCTTCTCTAACCAGCATCTTGGGAGCCTTGTACAGTGACTCTCCTCAAATATTCATAACTTAATAGCTTTATTTCAGTGGTATTCCAAGTTATGACTTCTGAGCTTAAATAATAAATTCACTTTGTAAACTTGCAATAACTCATGCAGTGCATGTATATAACACTTTAGACAGCCCCACTTTGTGTGCCATGCTCTAGTTACTCAACTTCTGAGCTCTTATTAAGCCATTCACCCATCACAGTCAGCAACGCTCTTTTGTAACCAGTAGCCAAAGCATAGAATTTCAATAAATAGGTCAGCACATTAGTCATTCATATATAAGGTCATTCTTTTTTGGGCTGCACTTTTGTACGCAAATCACATGTACATAGGTTACAGCATATAATTATGAAATAGATTCATTAGAGACCCATAGCTAATTAGACATTTTTGAACTGGAGATTTTAATGCAGTGGATGCCTTTGTGTTACTGCCTTTTGTTTAAGGTCCTGCTACTGTGTTTCTGCCCAGTTCTGTGCGCTCAGGGTCTGCAGGCCAAAGACAAGACGGGTTCAAGTGACCCCTATGTGACCGTGCAAGTGGGCAAGACCAAGAGAAGGACCAAGACCATCTTCGGAAACCTCAACCCCATCTGGGATGAGAAGTTCTTCTTGTGAGTGCATCCACTCTCGGTATTGTAATAAAGAAGCATTTCTAGTGACTGATGTTGATTGAAACACTGTCATAACTGGCTAAATGTTATGTGCAAAAAGAGACAAATATCTCTGAAACAATGACAGTTTGGATCAATATGTAAAGTAGGTTAAAGAATTTTTAGAGAACGTAACATTTCAGTAAATTATTTTTAATACTCTTCAAACACCTCTTTAAATTCCACTCAGAATTCTTCCCATTATGACTTACTAACCGTTTGTTAAATTCTATTGTCACATAATCCAGCACAAAGACTAATTTCTCACTTTATGAACAGGATGTCTACTGTCTGTCGTTAACCCTTGCCAGTTCTTTTGATGTTATTCTCTTGTCACAATAGGGCATGATGGTCTGCAGTGTTCAAAAATACGTTATGTTAAACGGGTAAAGTTCATTGAGAGTTTCTGTACTTTGACAGTTTCTATAATATAATGAATAACAGGGGGAACAATGTTCTAACAGTCTAAAGATAAGAACATAATTTTTTAATCTGCCTGTTTTAATCTTCAGAAATGTTGGTCTAACCAATGCAACGAAGTTCAGACTCATTATTGGATGTTTTTTAGACCATTTTGCAAGACGTTATCAAAGAATAAGCCATATTTCAGATAATCTTTTAAAGTGTATTTAGTAGCAGTTCCGTAAAATGGTGTTTTGTTAAAACAAAAACAAAAAAAACAGTGCTTCCTTCAGAAAACTACTTCAGGACACCTGAGTGGGAAAACTTGTAATGAGAGAATTAAAGAGAGAAGCTAATGACAGTTAGGTATTCTTCAGTACTTTCTGATGCTTAACAAATACAAATAAATTGTGCATTTTTAAGACAGCGTAGGAAACCACTCTCGTTATGTAATGTGACTCTTTTGCACTATTTAGATTTGATTGTTCATCCAGAAAGGGCCTAGATTTTGTGGAAGTGCGAGCATTGCTGCCTGACTTGCAAACCTGAGCACTGTGTTTGGAGGACCTGGTGTTACTTTGCTTCATTGCAGTTTTCTGCTCTGACCAACTCAAGCACAGTAATCAACTGGATGTTCATTGCATCAGACATCCCCTCTCAAGCATGGCCTTCATACACCCAGCTGTAATGATACCGTTTCCCTGCTGCTTAGCAACAGCCAGCCTGGGTCCTTTTTTTTTAATAGGTCTTAAGAGTGAGGGCATCGGTTTGCGTCTAGAAGTTGCTAATTCAAGTGTCACTTGGGATCCTGCAGTTGCACTAGACTGCTGCAGTAAATAGCCAGCTGTATAAACTGTATTCACTGAATTGAAGTGCAAGCTACTCAAAAAATCAGTAAACACAATAAGATGAGGTGTACATTTGATTGTATTTACCATACGGCTTAAGCAACACCTCAGACCATTACTGCGGTCTTTGTCATGCACACAAGACAAGTGACCAGTGTTTTTTAGCATGTTGTTTTTTTTCTTTTTACACATACTGGTGAACCGTTTGAGCTAAAGCTCCAGGCTGTGCTATGTTGCCTAGTTGATTTGCGTGAACCCTGATACAGATTGATATCACTTTTATCTTTTTTATCTGCAGTTTATTTTGGTTTTTGGGGAGATCCCAAATAGGAGAAGAGCAGTGTTGTGTTTCGTAATGTAGCCCATTTAAAAAATAACAAATAGGAAATGAAGGCTTCCCTCACTGCCTCGCTGTAGTTAGCTTAGCCTGGAGAGCTTAGCGTGAGATCCTGTTTGACTGGATATGTCTTTCTCTCACTTCACTGAGTCCCTAGCCTTGCATAACGAAGTTCAGACTCATTATTGGATGTTTTTTGAGTTTTTTAGACCATTTTGAAGAACAAACCCTTAATTTAACAGGGAATACAAGACTGTGCAGGACCTGTTCGATGACAGAAATGTACCATCTCTGGTGCACATGTAGAAAACACATGACACAATTTAAGATCAAAACCCTTATGTTGGTTCAATTTTGATGCAGATGCCCCTTAGGAAAATCTCTGTAATATGAGGTACAGACTCTAAGGCTTCTTGGAATCATTTTTATTCATTTTAAATGCATGCATTTCTCAATGCTCAGGGATACACACAAGCAAAAAACTGAATTACAATTACCCATATAAATACCAATACTGACCCAATGAGAATAACACACAGTAACTCAAAGCAGAGTTTGTGTGTAAGACAGCAAGTGTCTGTTACTATAATTCATCAGAAAGGGAAAATGTCATTGTTAGACATTTAGGCTACATTCACACTGCAGGACAAATGTGGCCCAAATACGATTTTTTGCTCATATGTGACTCAGATCACATTCATGACATTTTTCAATTCCGATTTTGGCCACTTCAAGAAGTGGTCATAAATCGGATACAGGTCTGTTTTTGTGCAATGCAACCTCAGTCTGAACAGCAAAATCGGAATTCATGCGACTTTTAAGTCACACAATTCTGCGCAGGCGGAAGTCACCATATGTCTCCGTCAGAGTGCCAAACATGGAGGAGAGCACAGAAGTTGGCCAGTGGAGGGACAGTGAGGTGCTGGATTTAATAAGTATTTGGGGAGATAAATCTGTTCAGGCAAAACTGGAAGGTTCATATCGTAACCAGGCAGTTTTCAAATCAATAAAGTGACGTCTTTGTTTTTGCGCATGCGTGTCATTGCGTCTTTGTTGTTTTGTGCGCACGCAGGCCAGTTCAGTATAGTGAACCGTTCACATTGAAATCTGATATTGCCCACATTAAAAAGAGTAATGTGAACAGGCAAACAAAAAATCCAATCAGAGCAGGAAATCAGAACTGAGCATTAAGCCCTGCAGTGTGAACGTAGCCTTTGAGACAGATGTTTGTGTTATTGTTATTTTTTTCCATTTCCTTACTCTCTCTGCATAACAGAGAATCAGGACAATGAATGAAAGTGCATCATGTGCGTTCTTCCATGAATGTAACCACCGAATGTTTCTTTTGCTGGTGGAGTTTGGCACAGATGCAATATTAAGGGGAGGGGAATGGACCTATCAAGTCCTGTAGCCAGCTGCTCCACAGGGACTCAGTCTCACCTGATGGATTGGTGTCTCGGCCTGGTCAGGCCTGCACAGGCCTCCTCAGAGATGAGAGGCAATTAAGAGGCATTCTTTGGGGAGGGGAGGGGGGGGTGGAAATACGCTTTAATAAATGCTTCCCTGTCAGGCTGCGCTTCTTCCTAGGGATTGAACTGGCAGACACAGCGAATTGAAAAGTACGGGTTGAGCTATGCAGAAAACTACTTCAGTTGGAATTTATTGCCTTGCTGACAATCATGCAGTGTCTCTGCCCAATGTCGAAGTCCTTATTAAGTAACGGTCCAACTGTATATAAGATATTAACTCTGGGATGACGCCAGAACTCAGGAAACTGCAAACTATGTGCAAGACTTCTGAATTATTTACTGTGACTATGGACTTGTGGGGGGGTGGGGGTGGCTATCTACTTACTCTCAGGCCCCGCCTTTATCAGTTATTTTGCTTGGTTTGCCCTATGACAGGAATAAAGCTGGATTTACCTTTCCCCCAGGCTAGATTTACGCAGCCTTTCAAGCGCTGCGTCCAAGCAGTTTTTTACGCACGCAACTGCAACACTGCAAAATAGAGAAAATACAGCCGGACATTAAATGGTATCCCCATGAACAGGTGTCTGTCAAAGCCCTGCTGTGAAGCCCTATCTATCAGTCAGTGGCATGTGGCTGAAAAGCCCTCCAGTTTGGGTCTTGTTCCATTTTTGATAAGCCAGGGGTCTCACTGAAGGATGAACGTGGATGATTTTGGCCTTTTATGTATAGAGGATGATTGCTCTTCACACTGCACTAACCTTCAGCCTGACTGCTTCATTCAGACATAATAGCTTTATGTAAACAATAAATCACAATTGCCTGGTACATCCTAGTAATTGTACTCCGTGACAGTGCTGTATAGCAATTTAAAGAAGTAAAATTTTCCCCAACAGTTTAGTTATTTTATTAGTTGGAAACTATGTCAGTCACTCTAAGGACAGATCTGTCTCTTTGTTTTCAAAGGAAGGAAAACCACCCTCAGAAATCACATCACAGCTGCGGTCTCTATGGAGAGCACGGGGCAGAACTTGGACAGGATGCCAGCAATGCGTATGAAGGGCAGATTAGAAAAACTGATCCACCTCAGGCTCAAGTCATTGTAGTAGGAATCCAGCAGAAATGTAACACTCAAAACTAGGAATGGGAATCAAATTTCCATCCCAGGAATGGGCCTATGGGTGAGCCATATGCTTACACAAAGCTTTCACTCCCCTCCAGATACCTGGGAACGCGGCGGCTGCCAACAGCACTGACCCCCCTTCGCTTATTCCACCACCACGTGCCCCCATCTCCAGTTAGACAGGCATCCCACCCTACTGTCTTCCTTTTCTTTCAGAAAAACTTAAAGGATATCCTCCAGACCTCCTTCCAGTAGCTGCCACTGCTTTGATGTCAATCACATCTGACAGGGAGCTCTGGGGGAGGAATGACTAGCAGTTAATTATCTAGTAGTTTATTATTTCTCCCATTAGTATTATGAAAAAGACAGAATTTGTTTTATTTAGAGTGACTCATTGGGTAGCTCCAGTATTAGGGTGTGTGTGTGTGTGTGTGTGGGTTTGCATAGATCATATTTGGGGGCCAAAATGTACCCAAAGTGTGGTAAAACCTGAAAATTCCTTATTTTCTGGGATATTTTTCAGGTCCCCATTTGGATAACCTCAATTTTATAAAAGACCTGTGAATGCAATCAAAAAAGTAAAAATGCCATAATTGTTTTATTTAGGGCTAGGTAGGGATTGAGGGTGTCATGCTTGGGATTAGGCTTTTCCCCATAGAAATGAATGGAAGACCCCTAATTAGATAAGTACACCTGTATGTGTGCGTGTGTCCTGCACACATACAGCCGCACTTTGTGCTTTCCCTGTAACCCTGTGATGGATAAGAGGTTGGAAGATGGATTTATGTATGGTCAGCATAAGAAATAAGTTTCTTTTGTGTATTCAGTTTTATAGCTGTGGAGTAATGGCACATAATCAGCATGCCCTGAGAAATTAAATGGGCACTTTGCCTGGCTCTAGTAACCCTTCAGTGCAGCTTTCATAAGTACTGTGGGGGGCCACAGATTTCACTCAGCTGCTCAGAGTGTCCCCCAGCGGCTCCCTTTGTGCCCCTCCTTACGTCTTTTAGGTTTGTTAACTACTTAAATAAAGAAACCATCTGCAGAATGGTGGCTGAAGTTGCAGCCAAAAGGGGCACAAATATTACTGCACTGCCAGAGTTCTCCAGGAAAGTGACAGGGGAAATTCCCCTTATTCTCTTCGATCAGTCCAGCAGAATCAATTGGTTGGATGGACTGAGTATTTGGCCACCATTCATTAGAATATGTTGGAATTTTGCGAATATGTACTGAGTAAACTTTTTGGTTGTGTGCTAAGTTCTCTTTCTTTTCAATTGTGAAGTAAAAGTGTACTCTGTCGTTGTAGAAAACTGTAGTTACATTATATGGACAAAAGTTCTGGGACACCAGCTTGTCCAACATCTCACTCTGAATCAAAGTATATTAATGTGAAGTTGGCTAACCCTTAGTTGATATAATAGCCTCTGATCTTCTGGCAAGGTTTTCCATTAGATATTGGAACATTTGTGGTGGGATTTGCTGCCGTTCAGGTTTGGTATTAATGTTGGGTGATCAGGTCCCTTTCTGTGACGTTGTGTGGCCGCCACTTCTCAGTTGAATTTGTTTCCAGATGTTTTCACTTCACAACACTTCACTTGCAGTTGACCAAGACAGCTGTAGCAGGGCAAAAATATGGAAAGGTGTCCAATGATGTCCAATGATGTGACTGTTAGGTTGACTAACCTCATCTGTATGACCACCCATTCTGCTGCCATTGTTTAATGCTGGAGATTGTATGGCTGTGTACTTAATACACCTGTATGTCAGCAGTGGGTGTGGCTTACATGTCCAATTCTTGTAATTACTACAGATGTCCCAATACTTTTGTCTATATTGTGTATGATACCTAAACCACTGACCTTTGAAAGGTGTTTCTGAGCTGAATCTCATTACTTTGACTTTGTGCTGCAGCGAGTGCCACAACGCCACGGACAGGATAAAAGTCAGGGTGTGGGACGAGGATGACGACATTGCTTCACGTGTGAAGCAGCACTTCAAGAAGGAGTCGGATGACTTTCTTGGGCAGACGATCATTGAAGTCAGGACTCTAAGTGGCGAGATGGATGTGTGGTATAACCTTGGTGCGTGCAGGTCTTTCCCAACGCCGTTAAGGTGGCCATTTTCAGAATAACTTCCCAATTACAAGGATGAACCGTACACAAGCAGTGGATCATAGCATGTAAAAAAAAATCTTGATGCCTTGAAAATGCAATATGTTTTTGCACAAAGTACTTTATAAATCTGTAAAGTTATAACAAAAATGTTGGCATTCCCTGTCTCATTTCTCTTCTAAATGAATAGGTACAATTTTATATTTTAGTGTAGTACTGTATGTATTAGAAATAATCATTTACTCATCTGTTCACCTGATGACAATTTACCACCTGAGTGAATGAGTGTAATGGGCTTATGAAAGAGCAGCAAGGCTACAGTAGACACTGAAATGAAATATTATGTAGTCAAAATGACAGTTGTGTAAAACGGTAATTGCTAGGCTATATTAAGTGCTGCATGCTATGCTGCGCTAACCACTAGATGCTAACTGCTTTTACTGACACTGGTTACTGCACTCTGGTGCCAGCAGTTGCCAGGAGTGCTCTCGCAAAGGCGTATTGTGCAAACCATTTATTTGAGTACTGATGCCAAATGCCGCCTCTGGAAATAAACAAGATATCACAAAAGAGCCAGGCTCTCACTCTCTCTCAGAAAAACTAGCCCCCAATTTCCTGACATATTAGAGCCAGAGAAAGATGTCTTGTTGGGGAGAAGGACTGGGGGGTCTTGTGCAGCTCTGCTGGGGCCCGTGTGAACATATCATCCCAACACATACTTTAGGAATTGCATCATGACAGCAAGGACCCTGTCACGTGTCTCTTTTTATCGCCTCACAGAGAAGAGGACTGATAAATCTGCTGTGTCTGGAGCCATCAGGCTGAAGATCAGCGTGGAGATGAAGGGGGAGGAGAAGGCAGCGCCCCCTCATGGCCAGTATACATGCTTACACGAGGTACCTGTACCTGTCTTTAGCCTTCCTACTACACTAATGGTGCTTTTCCACTGGCATACAGGAATTGAACCATACTCAAGCTGTACCCAAGCCATACCACGAAGAGAGACCAAAGGTTCCAGCTCGTTTCAGTTTTCTACTGCAGATGGGTCGGCTCGGTAAAGGCATTGCCGGGTTTGGAGTGCAACAGTGACATAAAACCTAAGAGACACTTATTTACCGTTCACACGGTGTGCATCATGATTTACTGTGTGCTAATTTCCTAATTTTCTAGCACATCTGTGAGAATTGCCCTGCTCTGTTAGCATCAACGCTAGTAGAATTAGCATTTGCTTGCATAAATTTGCATTGTGAATCCATTCCACTCAGCCGTTTTAAAGTTTTTTTTTTTTTTTTAAGTAGGAGGTTGGGAACTTTCAAGTTCAGAGTCATCAGGAATGTATCAATACATCATGATGAACGATCCTGCTAATAATGAATAATATATATAATGTAATACAGTGGTACCTCAGAACTCGAACTTAATCCGTACAAGAACTCCGGATCGAATCCTAAAAAGTTCGAGTTCTGATCGAATTTTCCCCATAAGAAATAATGGAAAACCAATGAATTGGTTCCTGGCCCCCCAAAAAATTTACACCTAAATGTTTTTTTTAGCATTTAAACACAAAATGAACCGGATAAAAAAAGAAGAGCATATACTGTACTAAACACATCTAAGCACATAAAAAAAATCGTCCGCTCCTTCCGGGTGCCACGCCCCCTCTTTAACCCCGTGTGGAATCCGCGTGTCATCTGCTGTTTCTGGTTGTTTTCATTAGTCCTCTGTATTTCCTCCGCGTTTCAGTTTGTTTCCCCAGTCCGGTCATTGTATTGTCCGTCTGCGTTTTGCCTGCCTTACCTGTAATTAAACCCTGTATTCCCTGATACCCTGATGTCTGTGCCTTTGTCTCCGTTCCGTTCCCGCTCGGCACGACAATATTATTATAATTAAATGTATTAATGGTTTATTATTAATATTAAAATAATGAATAAGAAATCTTTATTTTTAAATATATTTTATTATATAATAATAATTACTGTTACTGTCTATCATTGTCTAAATGTATTTTTACTGTCTAAATATGTGTATTCAGCTAGTGTAAACATGCATGATGCTATCGCAGCGAATGCGAGGCTGAGACTGAAGCTTTAACCTTTGTTTCCGCTGAGAGACGTGCTGCGTGACTCATTTCCCCGCACATACAACTTATCTTAGGTCGGCGTTCACGGTTTGACTTCTGAGATTCAGATCGAGCGCTAGGTAATTTTTTTTCGAACTGGTTGGTTCGACTTTTAAGAAATTTGAGTTCTAATGAGTTTGAGAACTGAGGTACCACTGTACTTGAAATGTTTTCTTCAAAAGATCCATGTGCAGAACACCCGTATCCCCATGCATTTCAACCAATCAGATGGTGATGATGCAACCAATTTGGTCACGCTTTCATTCTTGCTAGTAAGCAGCGTCATGTCAGAGCAGGTACAGCTTGGGTACGGCTTGTATAGTTTGCCATGCAAAACTGACAGTTTTACGGGGGACAGCTCGGGTACAGCTTGGTTCTTGGTGGCAGTGGAAAAGCGACAAAAGTCACAGGCCGTTGAAAGACCTCTAATTACCCTTTCACTGGGAATTAACTTTCACTCCAGCTGAGGACTGCAAAATCTCACACATGACACCTAGGATACAGTCAGGATAGCCAGTAACTTTAAAGGACAGCCAGGCACCCACAGATGGTTTACGGTGTTGATACCTCCCCTTTGCAGAACCTCTTCCATTGCCTGACTGAGGTGAAGAACAATGGGGTGGTGAAGATTCCTGAGGTCAAAGGGGAAGAGGCCTGGAAGGTCTACTTTGATGACACTGCTCAAGAGATCGTTGATGAGTTTGCTATGCGGTTTGGGGTGGAATCCATATATCAGGCCATGACGTAAGTAGTGGTGTTTCAAAATAGATAACTTCGCTTGTGGTTCACTTATGATTTTTTTTTTTTAATCACAGATAAATGTCATGGTAAATTGCTCTCCTTGATGATTCAAAAGTTCTTTGGCATCTATAGTTATTGCTTGTTTGAGGAGCCATTTTGAACATTGTCCATGTTCACAGGATAAGGTTGCAGTAGTGGGACCCAGATGAAAATCTCTTAGAAGCATCTTAAATGTGTTCTTATTGCTGTTTTGAGCTTCAGTAGGCCCTTAGCTACTCCTTTACCTACTTTTACATGTTTCTGCTAGTGGATTTGTTTGTTCCGCTGGGCTCTCTGTTCAGTGATGGAAATGGACTCATGCCCCCGAATGTCAGCACACAGCCAGCTGAACATGGGTTGTACAGGCAGTGAGGATGGCATACGCTCTTGAGGCTGTGATTCAACACACTCCCTCTAAGAGACAGTGACAGAAGCCATGGAGGTCCTAGTGACCACCCCGTGCCACTGACGGATATGCAGCATATTGTCAATAGGACACGGTCCTCCATATTCAAAGCTTTGCCGCTGACTGACTGCTTTCTTTCCCCAGCTGTTGATCCTTTTTTGCCTCTCTTTCCAAAGCTCTAAGATCCCACTATATATTGCCGTATTACTACATCCCTTGCCTCATTTCTGAACCCAGAGAAAGATCCAGGTCCTTCTTCGGCCCGAGATAAACTTCGGAAACCAACTTAGTTATGTGGGATATACCTTTAAGCCTATTTCTAGAGTATCATTCAGAGCTTAAATCTCTTAAAGAGAAATGTATTCATGGACAGACACAGGTCTACGAGGTTAAGCACTATGGAGCTTGTACTTCAGCTTTCATGCCAGAACTATATCATTAAACTCAAGCTATAAGAATTTTGGTTTATGAAAATATAAAATTCAATTTACTGGAATGAAATGTTTTTGTGGTGAATATTTCAGCATGTGATTTGGTAATTTGTTTTTAGTTAACAGGATGTAGGGGTCCTTGCATCTGTAGGATGGTGTTAATTAGTTGATATAAAAATATAATAATCTTTTGACCTGCCTGCCGGGTCACTCACAAAGTAACCCTGTTGTGGGTGAGAGAATTTTGGATGCAAAATGCAAATGTGCATTGATTTTTAAGTTTTATTCTTAAAAAAAAATAAGGATGAAGAAGCCCCAAAAGTGGTGTAGCCTCCTACCTGTCATTAATAGCATCTCCTCTGATCATGGTTCTAGCAGATGTAGCCATTTTCATAGTACGTGGTTTTCATGCAGTCAAAAAGATGATTCCAGAATGAAATCTTCAGGCATCAGATATTAAAAGTAGCAGCTCCAGTAGCACTGAATTGACAGCTTGATGTATTTGAGTTTGGTCTCGAGTCCACATATCAATGGACTTGGGTTTGTCAAGCACGTGGGTGAATTCTTGACTCGGAATACTTTTGACTTGAATAATGTTCCAAAGTCCATAGCTTATGTCTATAGCCTGTATCCAGCCATAGCCCCCAAATATTTGGCTCAGTGTTTTTCAACTTTGTGCACCCACCCATATAGCTAACTTACATCCTCATCATCCACAGCAATCATCTGTTTATCATACATAAACCATGCAAACCTAGAGTGTCCATGCAAGACCGTGAAGTGAAGTTTGGGATTAGATCACAGAGTCAGTCAGTGTTCAGGCACTATAGAGTAGTTATGCTTAAAGGTCTTACCTGTTTATTGCATATTATTTGGTTCCAGAATTAATTTTAAATGTATTCAGAAGGATACAGTCGTGTTACAATGAAGTTAAATATTAGTACAGGATGCAGTAGAGGTGTATTTGTTACCTTTCTGTTTTCTTAGTTGGTGGGCATTTTAAATAAATGATTGAAATGGAAAATATGAGATTCAGTTTATAGTTTTTGAATTGAGATTCATAGTCTAGAACTGAACTTGTGTTTTTCTGGATTTGGACTCTAATGCCGGAGCTGGGCAGCCAAGCCAGACTCAATCCAGTCTCGGACTCGTTGCCCTGTTGAACTCAGTCTGGATTCAGATTCGATTTGTTAAAGGTATGTTGTTGATTAGGACTCGGCTAAGGTGGACTCAAACACAACTCTGATCTACAGGATGAATTTTCGTGCGGAATCACACTATTAATTAAAAGACTGTCAACATCTAAATACTGTAGGATGTTTTTGGTAACACTACTGCTTTAGTTTGGGCCGAAGATTCAAACAGGATCAGCGTGGTTGTGGAAAGTGTCAACACTCAGGAGCAGAGTGTGCTGTTTGCAATAGCCTGAAGGACCATGTTTCAACAGAAAAGTGTATAAAACCTCTCTATTACAAGTTATTTTGCAGGCGGTATTGTCTAATACAATGTTTACATTGCTCTTCTTTATGAACTGGAAATTCCAAATTTACAATTTACCTTGTTTCACCCTTAACGGTCAGTCTGTCAAGCAGATCAGTATAAAATTCCACCAGACTGATTCTTGAGTGGCGTGTCTTTCATTAGCAGTTTCTTTTCCTGTATGTTTTCTACAGAGAGCCAGAGGCATAATGTAAATGAATTGTTAGAGCAAAATCCAAAATGGCATTGAATTGGTCCGGAATATAAATTTCTTGGGACGCTTAAAGGTTCTTCATCTTCAGTTTCACCTTCTTAATTAACTCTTGCTTTACTAGATTTACAGGATAGATAGTTGAGCTTCAGAACGATACCAGAAAGGTACCTGTTGAGCTGGTGTGGGTCGTCCAGGTGGGTTTTAGGACTTAAGCTATGTAGACCAAAAACTTTGAGCTTCTTCTTGGTTAGACGCTGATATGTCCCCAAAACACCTGGTGACATTAATTACTGTTTGGGAATGATGACTTAAGTCACACCAATGACCTTTGAGATAAAACCAGAAATACACTGTCCTTTACCTCTGCCTGCAGGGGGAGCTCTAATCTGTGCACATCCCAGGAGTATCTCCCACTGTCATGTCTTACCTGCCTGAAACTATTACAGGTGCCTTAAACATCTGGAAGAGAATAAAAATGGCAAATGCTATGGGCATTTTCTTCTGAGACCAACTACAGAAACTGAAGGAGTGGTGACATGTTTAGGCAAAAGCCAGAAGGACCTTACACAGTTTATAAAGCCACAGCTTGCTGTGCAATTGTTGTAATTTTTCATAAAAGCCCTGTAAGGTCAGTGCTAATTATACGGGCCTTCTGTGTTCGCCCCTCCTGCATTGTGTGTACAGATTGAGTTTCTTTTTTATTCCTTAATGAGTCCTACCTTATGGTGAGGCCATTCCAACAGGCAAACAAGCTTTAACATTTCCCTTGGTCATAGGGGACATTTGCACCTGACTGAAATACTTTAATATGATTTTATTCCTATAAAAGTTTCTGGTGCAGAAAGATGCAATGCACGACATTTGCTGCACCGCTGTGTTCTTACTGTGCATGCTGTATTCATATCTGTGAAAGACTAGGGCCTCCTCCCAGCAGTCTTCATCCAGCAGATGTACCTCCAGCTGACTAGCCTCTGTGTCATGAGCCTGTATGACTGTATGGTGTTAACAAGGCATCTCCATGGAGATGTGAACCTAGGGATTCGGGAAAAAAAGGAACCATTGCCACGTGGCAATGGACAGGAAAGTGAGCAACAGAAGGGCGACACACCTGCAGAACCAGGAGTGACAGAGGAGCAGTGCTGTGTAACCATGTGTGGAGCTCGCCGCAGGCTGTGATCATACCATTAACTTGACCGAACTGGTCAGCACAACTGCGGCACAGCACAACTGCGGCATAGCACAACTGCGGCATAGCACAACTGCGGCATAGCACAACTGCGGCACAGCACACAGAACTTCTGCCAAGCCTCCATTTCGGGTCCGGTGGAGGACTGCTAATTGACCTCTGATCAATGGAGTGGTGAAGCTGGTGTTAATCATCCTTGTTTGTGTCTCTGATTAATCAGCATGTCCACTGTGGCCCCAACAGCCCCTACTGTCTGTTTTCACAATGAAACCCATCCAGTGTGGCACGCATTTTCCCTCTTCCAGAAGGCAGAGCTAACATGGAGCTATTAATCACCTGCCTCTTAGGGGTGCTTTCATTACTGCAGAGCAGCAGTGAAGCAGCTGATTGGAGCCCCTCGACAACAAAGATCGTACATCCAGTGACTCTTTCCAATCACCATTCTCTTTAGGTTATTTGTGAGGCTGTTTAGAGCAATGTAAACCCCCTTGTACTTATGGAGAACATCTAGAGGAGCTGGTTCATTCTGCATATTCTTCTACCATTGCACACGCAAAGCATCTGGCTAAATGCACCTTGGTCTGAGAACATCAATATGCTTCTTGTTTATCTCCTGCAGACACTTCTCCTGCCTGTCATCCAAATACATGTGCCCCGGAGTGCCTGCCGTAATGAGTAACCTGCTAGCCAACATCAACGCCTACTTCGCCCACACCACCACTGCCACCACCAACATCTCTGCCTCCGACCGCTTCGCCGCCTCCAACTTTGGAGTGAGCCTGTGTCCTTCTTTAATGATCTCTCTCGCTCTCTTGTTTATATTCATTTTTATGTCGCGATGTGGTCATGCAGGTCCTGTAGATTTTGTCTGCTCCTGACTCTGCCGTGTGCTTTGATTTTCTTTTTTCACTACAGAGGGAAAAATTCATCAAGCTGTTGGATCAGTTACATAATTCACTGAGGATTGATTTGTCTAAGTATCGGGTATGTATTTGATAGGCCTTCTTGTTCTCAGTTGTGTATATAACCGTATTTCTCATATTTCACACAAACAAAACAATATTGCAGGGGTTAATTTAGTTTGTGATGAAAAGAACACATCCCTAACTCATGAAGGAGTTATAGAACGGGCATGGTATTCAATGTAGTTGAGTGCACATTTCACTTTAAATGGCTATTCTCATGTACTCTGCATCCACGCCTTATAAAATACCAAGACAAACATCAGCAGTACTCTTAACTGTGCATTGATAACTTTGGTACATTTCTGGTGTCAGGTAGACCCAAGCTATCTTGTTTTCTGACAACAAACTGACACCAGAGTTATTTTAAACATAGAACACTGTCATGTTTACTGAGACCAGCAGGGAATATCACAGCTATTCAATGTGATAGCTTGTCTTTAACCACAGAAAATATTATCGGACAGTAATGTTTAATTTGGCTCACCATCCATCAGTATGAAGTTAAATTAAACCCTGAACCAAACAGAATTAGCCTTTTTTTCAGGGTAGGCTTGGCACAAGACACACAGGGAACTCTCATCCTTAGTGCTCAGAAATCTCTATTCCCTCTGCCTTAAGGCTGTTTTTGTATTTGTCCTTTTGAAAATTAATACTATGATAATATTACCCTTCCCATGGTCTCTAGTCCGAAAAAAAAGAACCAGAGCCTAAAAATGCCACAAGGCCTCACTCAACCTTTCTCTTTTTGAGAAGTCATCTTAAAAAGCCACGATTAATTTCCAGAGGAAATGGCTCAAGGGTTATGGGTAATTTTGAGCACTCACATTTTTCAGTTTTTTCTTTTGGCATTATCCGAGCTACAAGATGGGGAATCTGTAACATTTCTGAAGTAGACCATAGCCACCAGTGCAGTGAAATGACTTTGAACACAATATTTTAGATAAAAAATCTATACTATATACAGAACTTTGATTGAGTGTTTTTAGCTTGTAACAATTATTGTGGTGCTGAAGCTTTAAGACACGTGTGAGGCTGACTGACCCAAAGCCATATCTGAGTGTAGCCATAGCTCACTTTGCTCTCGTTGCCAGGACAATTTCCCAGCTAGCAACCCAGAGAGACTCCAGGACCTTAAATCTACAGTGGACCTGCTAACTAGCATCACCTTCTTCCGCATGAAGGTAGGGGCCTTTACTTATATTTCCACTTCTGTCAACACTGTCTGCTCCTGAGAAAATGTTCATGCATTTGCATCAGTTAGTGGCCACTTTACAGAGGCATTCAGCCAGTGCACTAATTACATCTCTTCACTGTGGTCAATTTGCTTCCTGTCAAATTCCTGTACTGATGGAGGAATGAATAAATTGAAATAATGCATCTTTATTGGACTAAATTGACTTAAGTTACTGTGCTGTTTTACATTTGCTTAACAGAGATTATGTATCAGTGTAATAAAAAGCAATAAAATATAATTAAAACCAAATACACAAATACTAAAAAAGGAATAAAGTTGATTTCAGTGTGATGTTTTAATTATACTGGCAGTTGTTTATCTTGCATAGTACTGGAGTGTTGTTTTTAAACTTTAAAACGGCTGCTTTCTTCTGCTCCTTGGCCAGCTGCATTCCCTGCCGTTACAACCAACTCCTTTAATTCCATTGATAATGGGCAAATACATCTGTCATACTCATTGCATTCTATATATGAATCTGACTACCCATGATTAACCCCCTCCCCCATCCATCCATCCATCTTCTAAAAGGGAACAACCCAGGATGGGGCGCCAACCCATCGCAGTGCACGCCCACACACCAGTCACTCACACACGCACACCGATGGGCAATTTGGTAACTCCAATTAATCTGAGTGTATTCAGACTGGGGGGTGGGGATTTGACTACCCGGAGGAAACCCCACAACAACGCGGGAGAAACATGCTAATTCACACATAGAGCCACCATGGTGGATAATTGAACCCTGGTCCCAGAGGTGTGAGGCAACAGTGCTAACCACGGTTCAATTATGTGTGATAAACCTTATTATTCTCTGAGTGGTAGATAGGTAGGACTTGTAATTTTCAAAACCTCGTAACACATGCCTATGTCTTTATTACCAAGAGCACCCATTCACTTATCATTATTATGAATTTTGTAAGGCAGCCCTAAACAGGTGTTTCAGCATGAGCGTGGCAGCTTACCTATGCATCCATACCAGGCTTCAGGTCAAAACACCTGAGCTGGGTTCACTACCGGCAGCGATTAGGCTCTGACATCAGACTGCGGTGAGGAGAAAACTGTTCATTTTTCACTTCTGTTGGGTCAGTCTTCCAAAGAGAATTCTGAAGGAGTCTACCATAGCAAATATATGTTTTCTGTACTAAAATACACAATTAATCACACTGTTCTCTCTACTGATGAGGAAGATGAATTCTGAATAAATTACCTAGTGCTCTAGCTGCATGCTAGAGCCCAGAATCAGACACTGTCAAAGCATGATGCGTTAAAAACAGCAATAAAGCAGAGAGTAACTGTTGATAATTAATTGGAGATTAATGATGGGATTTTACATACAGGTCCCCTCTGAGTTAGACCAGCCATGCTCTGCGATTTGAAAGCCTGGCAAATCAAGATTCATAATAGTCTGTTCAGCAGTGGAGCAGAATTGTAAAGCTGAGTTATGACACACGTTCGTAAGCGACACCCTAGCTGGATGGATTTCTTTTTAATGCATTTTGGCTGTTCTCCAGAACCGTATCCTCCTCCCCCTTGTGAAACTGGAGGGGAAATGGTGGCGATGCTTTTCAGTAACTTAGATTTGTTCTGTTTTTGGAGGTCTTAAAGGGGTGGCATTTATGGGGAGGTTATGTAGATGTGAGGATGTTTATCTCTGCGCATATATGGTTTGGTTAAAAGCTGATAAGGACGTTATTTTATTTCACTTGTGCTTTCTTTCCAACCATATAAAATTAGGTTCTGTTTGTTATCTAAGCCTAAAAGCACAATGAGTTCCCATTGCCCTAAATGTCCTGTGAGTTTTCATCATAGTTGCCCATTGTTTAACGCCACAATCCTGAGCTTTTGTTTAAGTTTCGCCTTGCCATTATGTTATTCGCCTCATTTTAATTCAGACCCCATTCCTGCCTCCAAGAGTATGTCATTGACCTCTTGGGTCAACTATATGGTGACAGGATTTAGTTGCAATGTCCTTCAGGTGCAGGAGTTGCAGAGCCCTCCCAGAGCCAGCATGGTGGTGAAGGACTGTGTCCGAGCGTGCCTGGACTCCACCTACAAGTACATCTTTGACAACTGCCATGAGGTCTATAACCAGCTGCTGGATCAGGTACGATGACATCTGCAGAGATGTGTATAATGTAGGTTTAGGTAAAGTGTTCAAATATTATGCTTTCAAAGGACATTTTTTATGTTTATCATGTTGCTCCTGTGCAAGTGGACTTCCATCCATCTTCTGAAACCACCTATTCAGGGTCGTTGGGGGTCTGGAGCCTATCCCGGAGGCTACGGGCGCAAGCCGGGGAATAACCCAGGATGGGGCACCAGCACGTCACAGGGCACACACACACACCATACACATGCACACCTACGGGCAATCTGGGAACTCATATTAGCCTCAGCATGTTTTTGGACTGTGGGGGGAAACCAGAGTACCCAGAGGAAACACCACGACGACAATGGGAGAACATGCAAATTCCACACACATAGAATCCCAGCAGAGACTCAAACCCAGGTCCCAGAAGTGTGAGGCAACAGGGCTACCCACTACACCACCACCATCAAGGCCAATCAAATTAAGCCATACTACACATACTGCTTTGCTGCATCCATTTGATGTATTTAAGACACTGTGATACTTCAGCATTAAAGTTCACAGTGTTGAGTTCAGATGCTCTACAGCACCGTTTTGTCTTCAGACGTCTTCTGCTATGAAAATACGGAGCCCAGTTTGAGAGCTTGAGCTGTTGACTACTAATGGAGCAGAGTATTGCCTTTCTATTGCCAACATGAGGTAAAAACACATGAACTCCATCAATAAAGCAGTGGTTTTCGTGTTATTGACATTTGGACATTGCATGCCATTAATTAATGCGCCTTAATACTGTAGTATTAAATGGGGTGCAGCAGAACCCCACATGCCACTCACTCTCTGTTTTTGCTCTAAATGTACAGGGGTCATGAGAGCAGCAGTAGATGTCAGTGAGCAGAGCTAATGGTCAAAACCCAAGGCAACCTTGTTTTGAATCAGATGCTGTATATCCGCCCCAAACATTGCGACCCACGTCCCCCCCACGCACACACACATACACACACACACACACACACATACCATGATGAACTTGTCTGGTTCATCTTGCAGGCTGTGGCACAGTTCCCTGGGGCAAAGTCTTCTTCTCAGAACATTCCACCTTTAGTTTACAACAAAAACAGCACCCTTTCCAGGTCCTTATCTTAAACACATACTACTTGCTTTGGTTGTCAAAACCATTAATTTAAGAAAGCAGAGCAGGCATGCAGCTCATTCTGCAAGTCTTGAATTCAGTTAAACAGTTTGTTTAATGCTGGCACCAGGTAGAGGCTACATCGACGCTGCCCAAAAACACAGACATTAATCCCCATTTTCGCCTTTTGTCCACACTACCACAGAGTTTTTAGCCTCTGAAACTGAGAATTTCATAAACGCTCTCACAGCCAGACACTTTTGAAAATGCAGACTGTACTGTATAAGTGCCCCAATTGGACGCTGCTCTACTTACGAATGAGATATGTTCTGAACGGCCATTTGTAACTTGAAATGTTCGCAAGTCGTTATTCAACATCATTTTAAGGGTATACAAAGAACTAGGATGCTGGGAGTACGCACGCTACCTGGAATTGGCGCGCAGAAAAAAAAATTGATGTTGCGGACAGGAAACGGGAGCCCAGAGAACACATTTTGAACTTACAGTCCTCTTCGTTCGTATGTCTGAAAGTTCGTAAGTTGAAAGTTCGTAAGTTGAAAGTTCTTAAGTAGAGTAGCATCTGTATATGTTTTCACTCATTTCGGTGTGCATATTTTCGTAAACGCCTGTGTGAGTGGAGATCGTTTTAAAATTAAATTGTAGCAGTGTGAAAGTAGCCTTAGGTTCAGTCTATATCTGCTTTTCTCAGCTTGTGATTCTAGCCTTTCGTCAGAATGTAGAGGGCAGCAGTGCAGACAGCTGAGAATTCAGACAGTGGCCGAGTTAAGGAAGTTGTCAAAATGTTCAATTCTCACCTTTGTCTCGTGGCTCTAAGGATGTCCAGTGAGAAGTGCTCTGTCGAATTGAACCAAAAGCATTCAGCACAGGTGCGTTTGATATAGGGCAAAGTACTTCCCGGTTGCCAACTGTAACTTGGGTGATACATCTCACCAACTGCATTGCACTTCCCAGTATCATACAAAAATCAGTTCGTTCTTCCAAGGCAATAAATCACATTTTTTGCTCTATGGGACAATTTAAGTCATTCACTGGTAGCACAGGAATAATTTGCAACACACCCACGGTGAGCAAACCGTGTAACAGTGTTAGAGCCACATTGTAATCAAGTTCCTCCATGAAGTGAGGTAACCAGGTAACATGACCTTTGTAGAGCAACAGAACACCAGAGTAAAGTTAGCAGAAGGAAAATATAATTCATCTGTGGCATATACCAGTGACAGAGGGAACCCACGATCGGCAGTGACCCAAACCCATGCCGGTCTTCTATGAATCAGGAGAAATTTCATTTTACAGTATATTTGAAATGGGTATAACTTGTAAAGCTGTGCCTTATCTGATATATAAAGATTTCTTTTAGTTTTCATCCATGCTGTTCTCCAGCCTGATTTTTTTTTTATGAAAAACCTGCAGAGAGTGAGAGAGAGAGAGAGAAGCTGATTCCTTCCTGAAGGGGAGTACCTTGTGTTTTTCTCTGAACATCCTGCAGATAAAACCTTATTACTATAGACTGATTCAGTTATTTAACAATATTACTAAATATCAGTTGTTCACAAGTTAAATGCACACAGGTTATAATGGCTGACAGGTTTTGCTTGACACACACAAAGCCATTTTGTGCTCCAAAAAAGGGGTTCCTACTCCTGTTTTGTAGAGTACACCATCTGTGAAGGCACTGGGAACAAGGCCCTGGGCTGGCTAGGTTACATGTGGACCTTTCCAGGACTTGCTGGGATGTTCCACCCTGAAGTCTAAGCCTGAATAAATGACTGTGGAAATTAATATAGTTTGTGATATTGTCCATGCTCTGTTCATGGCCAGGTGGCAGCTTTCCGTACCTTGAGGGCCCTCATAGGCAGATGGGAAGTCATGTTATGTAATATACCTATCTTACCATAATATACCTAATATATGTATTATACTCATGCTATTTTAATTTGTACTGGAGCATCTTGGGCAAGTATGGTGCATATTGGTAATTTGCTAAGAATGTAGAATGTGATTCCAGTGAAATAGTTCAGTAAATACCAGCATCACAGTGGTTGATTTTCCAAAGTGTCCTGTCCACATCCATGTCACATACTTCAATGTTACAAGTTCTTGTTAATAGGTACTGGTAATTAAAACCACATCCTGTAGTGTTTGCCATATACCTCTGTTATAGTCAATTACTCAGTATGGCTGAAGGCAAGCTATTTCCCTCGAGATGGCCCACAGCCCGATAATTACTTTGTTAAATGAAATAAGCTTTAAATTGCAATGGGTGTGGATCTAGAACGAGTTGGGTACTGACTCATTTTGTTTTTCTTCACATACTTAAAATATATTATGAATATTTGGAATTGCTTAATTTAAATATTGGCATTTTTTATATATAGGGGGGATAAAATCATCGTTAAAGATATTCCTCAAATGATTTTGGTAAAATGGAAGGATCGCAAGCGAATTGTATTATCCAATCGACAGCTCAGTCAGTTTTAATTAAGAGCTCATTTGGAATATATGGAAGAGGTTGACTGGATGCAGATCAGGAAGGGTGTGCTGGTAAATAACATCCTGTTGTGTGTGTGTGTGTGTGTGTGTGTGTGTGTGTGTACTTGAATAATTTTAGCAACTGTCCCAAATTATTGGAACATGAAATCTATTTTCTGAATCGCAGAGTAAATGGAAGGAAAGATTGATCATTTCAGTTATTCTCTGTTCCAGAGTTACTTGCTGTCTTTTGCCAGTGGTAGCTTGCCATGTTTTCAAAGTAGCATCCCCGGCGGTGAATTTCATATTTCATATTGCATATACAGACACGCCTGTATATCATTTCACTTCTGTTTTACACGTCACTTTTGCAGATGCCAAACATGTTGGTTGGCAGGCTATAAGTAGGGCAGTGTGGACATTTTGAGTCCAGACGTTAGATTTGCTGTTAAGCATGTGAAAGCTTTTTGAGGATTCATAGGAATGTTGCGACAATGGCTCTGCCTCACATAGTGACATCTAATTAATTACACCCCTAATTAAGCTGTCCTCGGCACTTGCCCTTCCTGCAGAAAAGGAATCCGGCTACCCACTGTCCAAATGCCCGTGGTTCTGGAGATGCAGATGCATACCAGCCACGTCATGTTTTTAAATTCCTGAGGAAATGCTGGAGCGGGCACCGTAGGGATGCCGGTGCCCGCCGTACTGCGGGTGACCTTCGTGTGGCATCGCCTGGAAGGGAAATAACTGTTGGTCCAGCAGCAGTTCTCTCACAGCGCCTGGGGGCTGTCCTGTAGTGCTTTACTTATTTTATGTCACCAGAATTTTATTTATGAATTCCTTATTAACTCCTGTCAAAGGCACTCATAAAGGATGATATAGTAGATGATGTAGGAGTTGGCATTCTGATCAGAATAAACCTTCAGACACATTTCAGTATCTGGCCCTGTATCGGGGGTATGTAATGTTTTACGTTGTATGATTAACGTTGTTTGTATTGATCTGCATAGTGTATCAATTAACTGTATGTGCGAGTCACTCCGGATGGTGAACAGTCCCACTTGACCTGGGGGTGGCGGGATACAAAGAAAGGGTAGGAAGCCATTTTACAGAGGAAGAAAAATACAAAAACTGTGGCTCAAATTTGTGCACTGGGAAACAGAATAATCTGTAATGGTAATCTGGTTGGGTGCCAGAGGGATGCAAAAGGATAGAATATGTTCATCAGCGGTGAGGGAAGGGCACAATGAATTGACACAAACCCCCACCCCAGACACCTTACGCTCCCAGGTGGGGGGGCCCAGCTCTACCGTGAGCACGCCACCCAGGTCAGGTGACCTTTTGGAAAGTCTCGGCTCAGCGGATTCCAACAATAAAGGCCACCGGGCTTCAGTAAGATCCCGTGTGAACTGTCATGCTAACACATCCAGAAAGCGCGGGTCTACACACGAGTCTTTATGGACGGCGACTTCTCTATCACCCCAACTGTCCTGGGTTCACTGTTTTAAGGGATCTTCTTCCAGCTGTTTACTGCTGTTAGTGGCAACTGTAGTTCAAGGTGCAACATGATTATCAGCGCACCGTAGAGTGTGGATCACCATGATAGTGTGTATACCGTGTTGGGAGTGTTTTGTGGTGTGTTTTGTCCCTCATACTTTTGTGTCCTGTGATACTTGTAATTTGTATGTCCATGGCATCTACTCAATTATCCTCAGGGTACAGATATGAAAACTCATATGAAGAAATGTTATAAAATATGACGGACCGCATTATTCAGGCCTCTAAAACATGGGGAACAAAGTAACTCAGTAAGGTGCCATTAATTGGTTCCATTCCACTAAATGCAAAATCAGTCGTTGGGCTCAAACTGTGTGTTCAAGACATGAAAGCTTTATATATCCATCTTTGTTCTCTACTGCAGTCAAAATAATTGACTAAGCCTGGTGCAGGAAACCTCCCAAATGTATTTCATAACCGCTGCTTTCATTAACATTTGGCAAAAAAATAAAGAAACCATGTTGTTTGTAATTGACAGCTGGGCAGTAGATCACGATAGTGGAGTAATATACATTTAGACACCGTGTGGATGGCTGAGGCGGCCAAGGTGATGTTAACGGACTGTTGAGTTCCTGCCTTTTTATCTCACCACTCTGATGTCGTGTTGCCTCCCGTTCTTGTTTTCATTGAGCGGCCATGTTGACGTGTGATCTTTAATGGGCCAGCTGGGACAGCTGCTCTCATCTGACTCTCATGAAGACATCATGCAATGTGATGAATAAAACATGAGGCACGTTCTCACTGCGACTCAGTGCGCTTCAGGTCCTGAATTTTTAGATGAATTATTCATTCTCCTGTACTGGCCCACAGATGCTGTCCCAAGGAGGTGCCTCATCATTCTGTACACTCAACCCCCCCTACTGTACCTTCCCCCAGGCCAAGAAGCAGGACATGCCACGGGAGGAACAGGGACCTTCTATCAAGAACCTGGACTTCTGGCCCAAACTGATCACGCTCATGGTGTCTGTGATTGATGAGGATAGGACGGCTTACACCCCCGTGCTGAATCAGTGAGTGATGATTAATTTATGATCCCGTCTCCTACCAAGTAGCACCTTTTTCTGTATACCCTCCACTGGCCACATGCACGTGCGAGTGGTGGTTAACTGCATCAGCGTTAGGAAGGCGGCTGAGCACGAGGAGTGGACGTGAATTATTTAGGAGCGATAGCGTGGTTCCCTGAGAGAGTGGCAGCAGTCACTACAGAAGTGATGCTTCTTCAGGATAGGTGGTCCACCTTAGGAACATGCTGGTGCTTTCAAAGGGGGAGGGGACATTGAAGATTGTATTTCATCACACGATTCTTTCAATCCCATAAATATGCAGTGTACATTTTATATACAGCATCTTTTAGCACATAAACATACTATATGTATGTGATATGTTTGGTACCTGTGCTGAGACAAAACATGCATGGTGAACTCTTTCCTTCAATAAAAAATCAGTGTCTGGGCAGCCTTTCCTACACCTTACTCTGGTGTCGATGTCACAGTCCCCTAGGGGCCCATGATGCCAGTTTAATACACTCTAATGATGGAGAGTCACAGATTTTGTGTCTAGGGAGAGGACAGGACAGGGTGCTGCAAGAGGTTGATTTTCTGAGGCATGAAATAAATCTCAGAAGGCTTCCTGCTGGCATGCTTTTTTGTGCTACTTGTACCTTCTTCAGTTTTTTTGTTTGTTTATAATTTAATTGCATTACCTTTTCATGCTTTCAATTTAAACCTGCCCAATATTATGGGGTTGAACGTTCCCCCACTGTGTAGCTAAGAGAAGCCTGTGGGGTGGAAATGGCGTGTGAGAAGATGATCACAGAGAAGCTGTTTATCGTTTTTGACGAACTCTTGAACAAACTTGTTGCCATAGAAACACTATAGTAAGCTTTACTTATATTCCACTTATCTCCAGTGAATGAAGTCTGAGGTCAGTGTGTCCGTGTGTTAAGACACATTCAAGGTTTTTAATTTTTTATGAGGGCTTGCAGGATTTGACCTTTACATGCATTCACCTTTAAACCCTCAGGTTCCCACAGGAGCTGAACATGGGGAAGGTCAGCGCAGAGATCACATGGAATCTCTTCGCCACAGATATGAAGTATGCAATGGAAGGTGAGTGACAGAGTTTGAAACAAGGTTTAAGACCCTTTGCATATTTATTCTACCTGTGTGTATGCTTGTGCTCCCATTTAAGTATAATAATTATAATGCGGTACATATGTGCTCACCTGCACATATGCGTGTATACCTGTAAGTCTGTGCTTGTGCCACGATTTCACTGGTGTGTATATGGATATGTGTAACAAGAATTTATGTGAGCTTGTTCACCGTCTTTGATCTGAATACAAAAATGTATAATTCCACTGGTCCGTACCCAGCTACATGATCCCAGACAGCTGCTTTTACTTAATATGCGCATTATATATATAAAACTCATGTATTATATACATCTGTGTATAAGATACCAGTCTGGACGTTACCTTTCATACATGTCAGTGTCTCAGCTTATTTATGTTATACACACGTTACCCAGACAACAGCCCTTAACTTGGTGAGCAGTTTAGAAATGGGTGGTTGTTTGGGCTGATATGTATGGATCCACACAATCTGACAGCCCTCCGTTTCATAGTCCTGGATTTGACAGCCTTCATGTCTTGGAATCCGAGGACTCGTTGAGTTTAATTACCTGGAGGATCTTAGCCTCTGCCAGAACAAGGCCATAGCTCGTTGGTCCGTGTCGGCAGGTCTCCTAGACGCTACAGCGTTGTGCTGCACTGGATCAGTAGCTTTCAGGTCTAAAACACTGTCTCTATGCTGTGCCGTTGTGCTGCACCAAGACACTAGCACCTCTTCTTGTGCAGTGAGAAACCCAGTTTCTATTTATTCTTTCCTTCTATCTGTCTATCCATCAATCCATACCTACTGTCACTTTTCCATTGCCACCAAAAACTGAGCCATACTGTGAACTGATGGTTTTCCCTTGCGAATTATCCGAGCCGTACTCGAGTCATACCTTCGCTGACATGCCCCTGCTTACTAGCAGGGCTGAAAGCATGACCAAATCAAACTGGTCGCTTAACCACCATCTGATTGGTCAAAATTCACGGAGATACCAGTGGCATATTCCATATATTAGTCTTCAGTCGTAAGTAGCATTCATTGCGATGCATTGATGCATTCCCAACAACTCAGAAGTTCCAAATTTCCAACCACCTACTTAAAAATGTACTACAGACCAGCAGAACACAATGGATTTGTAATGTAAATGTATGCAAACAAATGCCAACTGTGTTTGATGCTAACATAAGACGGTAATACTCAAAGACTTGCTAACTTGGAAATCAGCATACAGTAAATCATGCTGTGCACTCTTTGAACAGTAAATTAGCGTCTTTTCGATTTTACGTCACTGTCACTCTCCAAACCCAGCAACACCTTTACCAAGTTGACCCTTCTGCAGTGGAAAACCAAAGGGAGCTGGGAGCTGGAACCAAGCTATAAATGGTCTCTCTTCATGGTATGGCTCAAGTACGACTTGGTTTCTGTATGCCGGTGGAAAAGCGCCATACCTTACCATGGTTAGGATTGCAGTAAGCTTTAAGCCTATCCTTGGTACCACAGAGCTGTAGGCATGGAATGCCCTAGACTGGATGCTCGCCCAATGTAGTGCACACACAGGCAGACTAAAGCATGCACAAAGGACAATTTTGGGGAGATCAGTTCACATACTGTACATGCATTGCTTTGGACGGTGGGAGGGAAGCCGGAATACCTGGAGAACATGCTTCGCACACACACAGACACACACGCACAGTTGAGGGCAGTATTTCAGCTTGAAAGCTGAGAGATGTGAGGTTACCACACTGCTCATTCTTTTCTTATTGGAAAAGAACAATGTAAGAGATTGTAGGAACACCTAGCAGGTGGCTGCCGTCCTCACTGGTACGGTGGCCTGAACGTGGTGCGACGGCCATCAGTAAATAGTGTAGACACGGGGCTGATGTCACCGTTTGGGGGTGTCTTCTCTGCCAGCGGAGGATGTTCACACTGAGGCTCCTTTTCAAACAGCACTGTTAGTTGCCTTCTGCCTGCATTATCAATGCAGCCGGCTCTAGCGGAGGCCCTCGGCTGTTTTTCATCCTTCACACATTTGCACATTTCCACATATCAGACCTCAAGGGGAATGTGGGGGTGGGGGGGGGCCGCCACTGCCATGGGGGCGCAATTAATGAAGAGCACTGTGCGGATGCTTGCTTGCTAGGCTGTGCCCCACAAAGATGGATCTCAGGGTGAGTCTCTGCGCTCTTGCCGTTTTCATTGCATAGCTGTGTCGGGATGCAGGAGATGTTTATCAGAGGTGTGACACCTAATCCGCGAGGAAATACTTCACATTTGTTGCAGCAATCGAAATCCAGCACATAGTAAACCAAATTGGGTTCTGGGCAAAATTCCTCCCCGTATGTTTAATAAAAATAGATTTATTGCATTTTCTTAAGCATGGAAAAATGGGTGAGAGGGATGTGTTGATGATTTACATCTTCAGGGCTTCTGCTTCCAACCCAGAGTTTGCATATATTCTCCTCATGGTCGTCTAGCTTTCTCCTCCTGCAGTGGACTCGCTTCTCATTGAAGGTGTACCTCGTCTTGCATCACATTCTCTGGAGGGCAGACGCTGGGCCATTGTAACCCTAATAAGATAAGCAGTTGTAGTTCAGGGTGGATGATTGTAATGAGCCTTGTCATTGGCTTATAGGAACGTGATGTAGTCCCGTGAGGAGAAGAACAGTGCTCCAAAGCAGCACTCTGCTATCTCTGAGTGCTGAGTCAGGGTGCTATGTGTCTTGATTTACCGTCAGTGTCATATAAATGTTTAACCTGCGGTGTTGCTGTTTTGTACTTTATGATTCTATTGATCAACAGGAATCTAAGTCTCCCATTTAGGCATGCAAGTCAGATGTCCATCATTGTGTTCATTCATTCTATTGTTCCTCTCTTTGGAGTCCCAGTAGGTTGGTGTGTTTTGTGTGAAAGGCTTGCCTGTTAAACCTGAAATGCATGCCGTGAGGTGCCAAAGTTAGTCTTGTTTGTTTTTTTTGTTCTCTTTTTGATGCACTCATCCATCCAAATTAGAAAATTCCCCCAAATAAAGCCCTAGTCCATATTCCACATTCCTCCAATACATGATTGTCCTCATCAAGCCAGTCGGCCTTTTGTGAAAATAAAGTCTGAAAAATAAGTGTGGAACAGGGTTTCCCAATCAAGTCCTCAGGGACCCACAGATAGCCCATGTTTTTCTTCCTCCCAGCTCCCGAGGAAAAATGTGGACTGTCTGGCAGAGCTAGGAGGGAGCAAAAATGTAGAACGTAATTTTTTAAAAGTTTAAGTAAACTTATAAAGCATTGCTTCGTCTTCCTTCACTTCGAAAAAAATAAATATAGGGGTGGATATAGCTAACATCAGGTGATTGGATTTCTGTCTTCATAGCTTCCACAGTAACGGAATTATTTGCTTGTCAGAATGCCTGGTATAGCATCTTTTATCTGAGTTGGGCCGTGAGTCAATCATCTGCGACGAGAAAGATTGGTGTCGAGCTCTGGCCATCACCACACATCTCCTCTAAGATAACCTGCAGCCCTCAAACTGCTGGCAAAATTGGGAAGCTGGGAAGGTGGCAGGTTACGCCGGGGGGGCTCCGAGTCGATGGCCTGATAAAAGGCACTGTGGGTGTGTTGGTTCTGCATGACGTGTTTTAATAACTGCGAGGGTTATTCTGACCAGTTTCAGTAAAGGTAGAATATCTTTGCATTCCAGCTTAGTTCACAGAGTGAAATACCATCTTTCAGCATGCTTGTTGAAATCATTGTGGCTTGTTTTGAATCCCTGCTCCCCAAACCATGAAATTTGTAAGGATATGTGGTATAAGTGCGCTGCCTCGTTGAAGAGGTTTGAAACTGAACCAAAACAAGATGCTGCCTGTAAGTGGTCCTTGTAAGTACCGGCCTTAAAATTTCAGTTTAACAAAGCAGCATGCCAGGTTGATCAGGATGCAACCCCCTCTGTCCCACCTCACCCATTTATTTTGTTTTAGGCTTTATACTGTTCTGGTGGTATGCCCCATCATGTGACCATGTCATAGTCATGTGATCATTGTCTGAGAAAGCACACACAGGAAAGACAACTAAACCAAAAGAACTAGCAGAAAACCTGTTCTCTTTAAGGCAAGGTTTCCTGCATCTCTTTGCAAATCCAGACTCCACAATATAAGCCAATAAAAGTCGATAAGCCAGTGAAATGCAGAACAGCGCTCATGCTTCTAAGGAACACATTAGCTTGATTGTACATTTCAGCAGTATCCACTTGTTCAGGAAAAAACTCTCCTGATTCACAGTTGCGTTCCGATTGTTTTTAACAGCCTCTGATTTTTTTTAATCTCAGTGCAGTGAGTTAATGAAGACTGTTGTTTCTGCGTAGCTTTTACCCCCCTGCCACATAGACACTCTATTGGTTTGTAATGAATTATGTGTTTTGTGTAGCCAAACATCGTCGTGATCTGAATGCAGATCAGTAATTGAATCTTGTGCTCACTTGCATGGACCAGATTTGAGTGATGAGAGTGTAGGTCAGGATGCAGACCTCAGTGAAGCTTGCGATTTGTGTGTTTTTAGTTCTAGCTGGGTAGTTAGCATCTCTGTCACATCCAGCAGGAATATTCCAAACTTCCAAAGCATTCTGCACACCCAGTCTGTATAAATGCATCCATTTTCCACCCGTAGTGAGGCTTATAAATTTAAGAAGGACATTCATTGTGACTTTTCCCACAATTCAACACTCATTTCCAGTCACAGGGGAGAGATCATTATGGGCTATGTATTGAAATTTTCTAGAGTGGATATGAAACGTATTTTACAGTGCCCAGCTCGCTGTTGTTCAGCTTTACATTTCAGCACTGTTTAATTCACGGATTAAATCTCATAAAAGACACCTTATAATCACTTTATTGCCATGTCCCAAGAGCGACCTCATATGAGCTCATGCCAATGGAATAAAAATGGACCGATTATGAAAATGGATTAATCTCAAAGTCTCAAAGGGGGAGTTAGCTTCTATTTTGT